TGAAATGATGAGCAAATTCTGCAATATGTAATATCTATATTAGATAGTTTGGCCCTAGATTGCATGACACTTAAGATTGCAGGGTTGTATTCTTAGCTACTTTATGAATAATACAGCTTTCAATAATTTTGTTGGTATAACTTGATAATGATTATTAGAATTGTCTGAAGAATATGCGACAATTTATCTCTATAACCTTGCAATCATTCAATGTTTTGTGCAGCTTGTATTTATGTTATGATGCACCCTTGTTTAGTAGTACAGTACATAGGCCCAGCAACATTTTGGTCCAAAAACCTCCATTGTATTACTAAAAACTTTTATGACTCATAGCTAATTAGACTATCATACTAAACGATATTGTTTGCTATGATTTGTTAAACTAATATTATGTTATTTTAAGCTCCTTTATGTTTATTGGTCCTACAAAACTTGTATTTTAGCCTGTATTTATTATTGGAACCTTTATAATAGTTGTTGGGAGTCAGGTTGTTATAACTGCCACCTTCTCTATCATCAAATAGTGCCATGCATTTAGTTGCTTTCCATATGTCAAAGTTGTGCACACCTCAAAACGTATATATGAAAAATTTACATCCCAGAAGCAAACTAGATCCTAATGATCTTGACTCTTACTTCAACTATTGGATTTCAGGAAATAACTTTAATTGGAAATGCTTATGGTAATTATTCTTAGCTGGAGAGTTTTTTCTTTCCTTACTTGTAACCCGGACAACACACACATGAAGATATAAACATATATCACCTTTTCCTTTTACTCCTTTAATTGCAATTGATGTGTTTCACTTTTATCATTTAGTATAACTCCCATAAAAAGTAAACTAGTGATTTAATATCAAGCCCTTTAATATTCATGTGATTATTGTTGTTTCCTCGTGTTTCAATTTTGGTATGCTTTGCTTTCTACCCAACAATTGGTTGAATTTTGGCTAGTTTTTCTCTGGGGCTGTCATATTAGCCTATTTCATAGGATAATATTGGAGAGCTTGGAAAATGTCAAGAGCATGTGTTTCTTTGACTAAATACTTAAATGGCATGTGTGTTTTATTTTTCTAATTGATTCTTTTTTGGTATTGGGTGACCAGGACTTGCTTTTGTGATAGAACATTTGTGACTATGTTTTGATGGCATTTGTTATTGTTTTCATCTGGAACAAAAATATCATGCTTGATGTAGTATTTCTTTTGTTCTTTTAGGTGATTAAGGGTCTATACCTATCAACCGCGCGTGCTCATGAAAGTTCCACAAGGAGGGTGGGTTCCTCTTGGCCTATCTTACTTCTTTTTGCTTATTATGTATACTTGGTATTATGGCACTATTCAAAAGTACAATTTTGATATGAAAAAAAAACATTCATTGAGATAGGTAATAGGTTTAGGCCCCACGCTTGGAATTGTTCGTGTCCCAAAAAGAGGTATCATCTACTCATAACTAATAATAGGAGTCTTGGCAATATTCTCTCGCCTCATCACCAACCTTCCTGCATTTCATCAGGTGTTGGTTTTATTTATACGAAATCAGTTCCTATTTTATATGTCCCTCCCAAAGAGTGCTTATTATGCGAATCTGCCCTAAACCATATTGTATGTATAGGTGCACAGTTAGATATCAATACAAGGACATTTAAACCAACGATGGAGAATTCGAGACCCTGCTCATATAGAGCATTGTAGAGTTTATCATGACAAATGTAACATCCCAATTTAAATTTAATAGTTAATTTTGATTAAAAAATTTTAAAAAATATTTAGAGGTAAGCAAATTAGTAGAAAATAATTATTAAATATAACTTAGGATATAATTCTAAATTAAAAATTTTTTTAAAAAAATTATTATTAATTAATTAATTAAAAATATTATTAAATTATTATTATTATAAAAAAGAGAAAGGTGTGAATAAAAAAAAAGGGAAGAAGAAGAAGAAGAATGAGTTTGCTTTCGGCGCCGCGTGCTACAATTATTACGTATATATAATAATAATAAAAAAAGGGGGAGAGAGAGGAAGGAAAGAAGAAATAATAAAAAAATGTGGGACCCTCTGAATTTTTATAAAAACTCACCCGTTTCCTTTCGTTTCTTCAATTCTTTTCCTGTGAAAAAAAAAATGGTCAAGTTGACTCAATGGTACCAGACTTCGTCTCAACTTCGTTAAGGTGGTAGAGGTTGGAGGTTCGAGTTTGGGGAGGTTCCAAAAGACCCCCATGAGGGTGGGGTGAGGAATAACCACTGTACCACCAGTGGGAAAGCCGGCAATCATGTGGTGACATGTGTGTGTCCAGCGCCTGGGAAAAGACCCTGGAGAGGCAGTGGTGACCCAGGAGGGCTGTTACATAACCCAACTATGGTTGAGTTAAATTATTTTTTAAAAAAAAATTTAGTGTGTTACAACAAAAGCAATGGCATCACAATTCATAAATGATAGGAATTCAGGATTAATTTGTTCATGTTGCATTTCCTCACAATCAAGTTCAAGCCTATTATTGGGAGGATTGTTAAGCTAGCATATTTTACAGTCTATTATTGAGGATTAAAGCTTGAAATTTATCGGGAGCCAAGTGAAGTTTCAGATGCTACATAACATTGATATGGATTCTACAATGAGGGAGGAACTTTCGGATTTGATAGAAGCAAAGGGATGTGGGGTTATATATATAATGAGACATACAAATGTGAAAGCAAGGAGGTTGTCACCATCCTTGAAAAAACTAGTGGTTGATATTGGCTATTCATTTCTACGCAGAATTATAGGGATTCAGTGGTTGCCCTTAACATTCCTCATATCAGTCATGTGGAAGTTGGGATGATTTGTTATGTGTAGATTTGAAATTTTGTCGCTTGCTTACAGGTAAGGCTATAGGCTCTCTAACACGTTGTTGTCAGGAGAGAGAGGGGTTAAGCATGTGTGCTCCATTTCTTCATTCAAAGTTGCCCTAAAGTGGATATCAAAACCATCTACGGGAGGATGTGGTATTTCCATAATGATACTTATTGAATAAATCCAAAATTAGTGTCTTCTCATTCATGGGAGGTTTTTTTTAAGACAGTCAAACTTCAACTGATCATTTTTAGGATACTTGTTAGACAATAATAAACTAGTAGGAATTAGTAGACATTGATGAATAATTATTGAATTTAAATACGTAGTACACATAATGAGTGAGATTTATCATTAGACAATAATATATCTATTCACTCATACATGAAGATTACTGTAGCTAGTTTAAAACTAATCCACGTGGGGAGTAATCAGGCAAACTCAAAAAGAAGCTCTCGGGTAAAATACCTTGCATATGTCCATAGGCCATTATCCAATTTTGAAGCATTTAGGTAAGTTGATTTCTTGCTACATTTGTACTTTTGTATGACTTCTTATAATTGACTACACGAATTTTTTCAAATCAAGTGAGAGGTTCAATTTACATTGAAAAAATGACAATTCAGGACTCTATAAAAATATTAAGGACAATTACATATTTTAAATTATTGAAATTTTAACAATAGATTATGATTTTTGTTTGCAATTAAAAAAATGTAAATAGTTGATTGTAAAATTAATAAAATACACTTGAGATTATTTATAACATTAATTGATAATTTAAAAGAACCAATTATGAATCTCATTTTTTTTCTCAATATATAGGCAAACCACTTGAAAAATTAAGAAAATACATTTAGAATTATTTGTAATGTTAATTAAAAATTTACGAGAATTAGTTGCAAACTGTGAGCCAATAATTTTTGATTTTTGCCATTACTTAGAAAATATATTAAACTATGAAATCCATTATAAATATCAAGTTAATCAACAAAAAAATAATTTATTACAAGACCATAATCTTTTATTGAAATTTAATAATTTTAAGTTTGTAATTGTTATTAGTTCCTAATAATCATTGGGAAAAAACAATAAAATTTTTTTGAATTATATAAATTATAATTTAGTCTCTCAAAATGTTATAATTTTATTGGAGTTCTTAAAGATTTCTATGTAAATAAATTTTAAAGTAAAAAGACTATTTTACCTTTATTGAAAATAACAAGTTCTAATTACAACTTTTATTAAGAAATAGCAACTTTTATTTTGTAAATTACAAGAGTTAAATAAGAAATCACAACCTGTTACGTGTGATTTTTGTTATTAACAAATAAGCCCCAATTATAACTTTTATTTAAAGAATAAAATTTTTATTTCGTAAATGACAAGAATTAAATAAAAAATTATAATTTATCAAGTATAATTTTAATTATTGAAAAACATGTTCTTAAAATAACAAACCCAATTTATAACTTTTGTTTAACGAATAATAACTTTTATTTAAAGAATTATAAGAGTTGAATAAAAAATCACAACTTATCAATAAAAGTAAAATGATATTTTAAATTTACAATTTATTAACACAAAATGTTCTAACATTTTAATAAAATTACAATATTTTAAAAAATTAAATTATTATTTATATAATTTGAGAAAATTTTATTATCATTTTTTTATTTACATTTTTAAATTTAAAAAGTTTGAGAGGTTGCCATTTGTGCCAACATCAGTTATTACACCTTTCTTCCAATTTATAACTTTTATTTAATGAATAATAATTTTTATTTAAAGAATTATAAGAATTGAACAAAAAATCACAACTTATCAATAAAAATAAAATAATATTTTAAATTTACAATTTATTAACACAAAAATTTTCTAACATTTTAATAAAATTATAATATTTTAAAAAATTAAATTATTATTTATATAATTTGAAAAAATTTTATTATCATTTTTTTATTTACATTTTTAAATTTAAAAAGTTTGAGAGGTTGCCATTTGTGCCAACATCAGTTATTACACCTTTCTTTCTTTTTCTTAAAAAAGTCCCTATAGTGAGTTTGTGGCCCATGACTAATCCCTAATCTCTACCGTTCCTTCCCCGATTTACCATGCGTTGACTAGACTGCACCGTAACTAATACCATGAACAAAGTACAAACACCGTGGTATTATGATAGGACCCACGGCCCGTGGCCATTTCTCCTCTGCACTAATTGATCCCAGCCTTCTAGCCCCTTCTCTCCTCTGCACTAATTGCCGAAAGGCCGAAAGATCGGCTGGAGGGTTTCGGTATCCGCCGGAGTAAACGTATTTTGCCGGTGTGGTCCTTCTCATAACGGCTAGCTGTGAGCCACGCTTAATGTCATTAATGCGTTTCGCTGCCTTCTGATCCAAATCAAAGGGGCCATATGCTGCCTTTACCCCATTGATTCATCGCCTGACTATCCGGAAGGGGGGAAAAAAAGAGCTTGTCACTTTCTGAGTCAACACTGGCCGCAACAAGCTCTCTGCTCTGCTGTGACTATTCTACCCGCTTTCTTTAGTTTGCATTTTCGTTCATGGTTTTCACTTGAAGTCGATTCGACTGGAGATACCTACTGAGAATCCAGGATGAGTTTTCAAGATATTCAGGGCGGGCCCAAGCGACCTGCTTCCCGAACTCAATCGCCGTCGCAGGCGGTTGCTGCGGGGATTTTCCAGATCAATACAGGCGTTGCCACTTTCCGACGACTCGTTGATGCCATTGGAACCGTCAAAGACACCGTTGGTCATCGCCAGAAGCTGTATGTTTCTGTCTACTTTCCGAAACTAACTGCCCTTCTGTTTGTTACTTAACCGCTGGTTTGGATTTGACGATTTGTGTACTATTTGGTAGGCACGATACGAGGCAGCGGATACTGCAGCTGGTGAAGGATACTTCTGCAAAGCTCAAAGCCTTGAGCGAATCCGATCTTGCTGCCGGTGCTGATGTATGATTTACTTCATTTCTCACTCTGTCTTTCAGCTGTTTGTTGTTTTTCCTAGCCTAATTGATGCGTCTCAAATGACTTTGTTACCCATAATAATTACCTCAATACTAGATAATTAGAAAAGGGAAGAAAAAATCCGCCGTATTGTTTGTTATTTCGCTTTTCATATTGTCTTTGGCCCTGAATTTGATGCTTATATTTAGGCCCATTTGAAGCATAATGGTTGGTTATATTTATGTTGTCAAATTTCCTAAATGAGGGAAAGGGGGAAAAAATTCTGGTGATTTTTTATTCCATTAATTTTCTATCCTTTGTTGGACCAGTCTGGTAAGAAAATTGAAGATGCTAAGCTGGCGAGAGATTTCCAAACCACGTTACAAGAATTCCAGAGAGTGCAACAGCTTGCTTCTGAGCGCGAATCTACCTACCTTCCTGCTGCTCCTGCTTCTTCTTTACCAACGAGGTCTGATGATCCTTTGCATGATAAATATGCTTCTATACTTTCAAAATTGTTACTCCCCCTTCTCTTTTCTAATTCCATTATTTATGTTTTTGATAAACAGCTTTGGCTCTGGTGGAGAATCAACTGGCATAGGTCTGGAAAGCCAACCTTTTATTAGAGAACAAAAGAGGTAAAAGTTTCCGCTACTCCATTGTGCCATGCATAATTTGTTTGTCTCATACTCAACTCGCTGGTTATAACAAGAGCTGTTATTGATGGTCTGATTTTCTTGATCAATGATAAAAATGAAGGCGGGAGATACTTTTATTGGATAATGAAATTGCATTCAACGAGGCCATGATTGAAGAAAGAGAACAGGGCATCAAGGAGGTAGAGGTGCAAATTGGACAAGTAAATGAAATATTCAAGGACCTAGCCGTTCTGGTTCATGAGCAGGGGGTTGTTATTGGTAAATGATGTACCATTGTGCATAATGGGAGTTTATATAGCTTGCTTTTTGTTGCTATGTTTAGTTAATTCTGTTTCCCTCATAGTTTGTTTCATCGTGCCAGATGATATTCAATCAAATATTGATGCTTCTGCGGGTGCAACAACCCAAGCTACTACACAGTTAGCCAAGGCTTCCAAAAGTATGAAATCTAAGTCTTCATGGGTAAGTTGTAAAGACCTTGACATGCTCGTAATCTCCAATCCTCTGGTCCCAAATGTAGGAGTTGGTTGGGGGGTTTGTTTTGGTCGTAAATATAAGATGCCAATCTCTTTTGCTCCCCATCTTTATTATTTTTTTCCTTGCCCTGTAATTAGAATTCTAAATGATGTATGAGTTATGTGGATTATACTCTAATGTAAATGACTTAAAGGAGGGGTGTTTTAAGGAAACAATCATGCATGTTTTTACAAATAACTAACTCGACTAATATCCTTAATCTATGATAATTAGTTGACGAGCTCTTACATTTAGAATTGAAGGGAGTTATAAGTAAACATTTGGTTCCACGTTAGAAATCACTAAAACCATGGTTTTGGTGATTTCCTTCATGAAACCAAACACGTTCTAAAACTTTTGGCTTGCATCATAACTAAGCAAGTCAGCTTTATTAAAATTAGAATAATAACTTCCAATTTAATATCTGCGCATGGCATTGCCTATTGTGTATTAAGTATGATGGTTTTGTCGCTGCATGCTACTCTTACATTATCCTGATGATTTATGGATATTTGAATTTTTGTTACTGTGCAGTGTTGGTGGGTGCTTGTAATTTTTGTTATAGTGGTGGTCGTCCTCGTTGTTTTTCTCATCATTTAGTATCCAAGCGCGTACATGCTGGTATGGGATGATTTGGCTGGACGGATTTTTGGCTTTCTCAGTATCACCTTCCTGATTTTGGTGTGAATTTGTTAAATTCTTCTCTTATTCCGTGAGTCCTTAACTGTGTTAAGACTTCAAGAGTGTATGGCGGCCCTTCACAGCCAGCATTTTTGATATCTAATCTGTCCATTGCTGGAAGTTCGAAGAAGGAAAGGAATAGCGAGTCTACAAAAAGCTGGCCTGATATCCAATGGAAAGATGCTTGAGTAGTCGATACTGCTAAAACTTGAGAGGTTGACTAATGCCAAATGTCTGTGTATTTCTTTTCATGTTGCCATTATTGTGTTAGGGACCATTTGTTTGCACGGCAGTTGATCCGTTTCCACGACTGTATCAAATCAAAGACAAGTGGGAAGGAAATGAGGCAGTTCTCTTATTGCCTTGGGAGTGTTGTTTGTGTATCAATTCTAGTACTTGGGTGGAGGAAGATACTTTAGCTCTTTTTTTTTTTTTCCTTAAAAAAATATATTTCAAGATTTTAACCATAAAGTAACTATTATTTATGTTTCACATGATTCCCGCCACTTGAGTTAATCTTATTGAATCCTTTTTCATTTGAAAAAAATAGCCAACAGACATTACTTATTTGAATTTTAAATTTTAACATGCGAATATTTACTGGCTTAAAAAGGATGAATGCACTTTGTTGCTTCATCCGGAGAAAACTTGCACATCTTTCACGTTTGCAAGTCCTCGAGGGACTTTCGTTCTTGTTGATTTTGTAAATTATAAGTATTTTTTATTGACTCCTTAAATATATTGGCAACAATTAGTGTTAACTGGATGTAGTGCCTTTTTTGCCCCTTTCGTTAGCGGAAGTGGCATGATTTTTATTATCGTGAAGATGTAAAATCTTTTAATTTAAATCTTCTTTTTCTCCTTTTGTAAATAGGCAAACACTAACGTTATATGAATTTTAATGGAGAAAATAGAGGGGAAGGGAGCCTCTTAATTTGGGGGAGGTTTTGGACCCTCCCCTCTAGTTTGCCAAACAAGGTGCAACGGGGAGGGGAAGGCCAAACAAAAGGGTAAACTGCAAAGCTCTTGTTAGGATTTTTGATCTTTTGAAGGAAGGAAATAGATCCAGACCCGGTCACCGCCTTCTGACTTTTGAGAGGAGGAAAGGGAAGGAGAAGAAAAGACAAGGAAAGCTGGCAACCCGCAGGTAGGGCTTGATCGGGTTTCTGGTTTTGAGTAGGCAGCCGAAGATCTCACAAATAGCCACCCTCCTCCGGCATCCGGTGAAACCAATTCTCACACTCTGATCAGCAATGGCGGCCCTCTTATATCACATGTTCTCCTCGTCTGCATTGGTGTCACTTGGTCTCTACAACCTCATCGCCTCAACTCGCAGCTATCTCAAATCCCCTCATTCCTACTCCGCCAAACCCTTCCACCCCTTTCCTCCTTCCTCCTCCAATACTCAGAATCACCGTCTTCGTTACCTCCCTCTCTACCTCGTCTCCGCCTGTCTTCTCATCGCCTTCATCCATCAGCTCATTATTTCCTCCGATTCCGACCCTCTCCTAAAAGGTCACACCCCAGTTCACCGTTTCACCTCACTCCAATCTGCCGCTGTCCTCTTCCTCTTCCTCATCCTCTCCCTCTCTCTTTTCCTCTCCGATTCCTCCACCCTTCTTCCCCTCCCCAATGATCTCATCTTTGCCCTGGCTTCTGCCCTTTTCTTCTTGCAATACTCCGTCTCCGCCGCCTCTGCTTCCGTCCAGACATCTGATCTTGAGGCGAAATGCAACTCTGTTTCTGCCCGCATTTCAGCTACCGCTGCCCTTTTGTGCCTAGTTATTGCTTGTAAGCCTAGGCTCTTCGTTGCCGATATTGGTTTGGGAGCTTCTCTAATCTTGCAGGGGCTTTGGGTTTTGCAGACTGGATTGTCCCTTTACGTTGACGCATTTATTCCCGAAGGATGTCATCGTTTGCTTGATGTGGTAAATGGGGTTGAGGGATCGACCAAGTGTGATGTTGAGGAATTCAAGTTCAGAGCTGTGGCTATTCTGGATCTCTTGTTTTTGGTTCATGTGATGTTTCTGGTGGTCATTGTCATGATCACTTATGCTGTCGTTGCAAAAAGCGTTGGCGTCCGGAGATCTGGCTCCTACGACGCCTTGCCTAACAGTTCTTCCCCTTCTGAAAGTAATCATAGTCATATACAGATGAAATCATTGACTGGCGTGCAGGCTTGAATCATTCCTGTACCTTTTCCCTTTTCACTGCTCAGCACTTCTTTCTGATGCAATTCCTTTTTCTTCGGCAATATTAGTATGATCGTTGTGCTAGGTAATGATATCTGAGCAGAGCTACAATATATTTCGCCTTAGAATTTTGTGATCGGATCAAAACATAAGGGACTTCTTATATACAACCAATGCATATTTATTGAGTTCAAGTAGTTATCAGCTTCCCTTGTCCTTTTTCTTCTTGAATGTTACTGCTTTTAAATCACATTTTGCTACTTTGTTTCATATCACTGATTTCAAAAGATGCATGGACACTTGAACTTAACGATAATAATATTATAATGAATGAGTTAAGGAATTGCTCACACATTTCTTTGTGTAGTTTAAGCCATTATGTTCTTCAAGAATTGATTTAGAACTCACCTCTAAGATACTCGTAGTGATTCCTTAGGAATCTTGCCTTTTTCATTGAGCCATTCATCCCACATGTTCATATTGATAATTTATTTTGCATAAATTATGATCTCACGACCCTGCTGGTGATCTGTGTACCCAGTTTTGCAGTTAAGCTTTGAACCAGAATCCGCTTATGTTTTCTGGGACTTGATCCAGTTCTAACACTTCAAGATTTCCTTGAGGGGTCCATGACTTGTTCACAGCATATACAATCAATCGTTAATTTGCAGGCAGTCTCAGATGCCTGAAAATTGGAAACACATGCTAGAAACTAGGGCGAGCCAACAACATTCACGGTGGTCTTAGATTTCTTAAAAAGTTTGTATGACTCCGCTATGGGAAGGAAATATGTCCTGCAACATATCAGTGGAATTAGGAATTTCAGAAGATATATGAAGAGTTCATATCTCACCGTTATTAGAAAAACAAATATAAGTAACTGAGTATAACTAATTGAACACATCAATTGAGATATGGTATAGCTTTGAGAGTGCGTGGGCTACTAGGCCAGTGGAGCTGCACAGTGACTTTTCTCTTACATGTGCATGTGCTGTCTCTTATTCTTGAAGTGTTCTCATTTTTGGAAACAGCCTGCAAGTTGATATTTTTAGAACCGATGCTTCCATGGCTGAATGTTATTCAGTCTAATGCAGTGGAATTTTTACTGTAACTATCAAGTTCCTTTAATTTTATATCCCCCATTTTGGTCTTCTGTTATTGTCTTGGGCTCTAGTTCTTAAGGAGTTTATGAGCAAATTTTTTTACTACGTGTTCTCACTTCTGACTGTTACTTATTATCCTTGGGACATACTGATCAAACGTGTGAGATTGGGAAATTTGTTTATCCCCAGTTTGGGTCCTAACTGCCGAGTAATTTTTTCTTTTCTTTTCTTTTTTGGGGTTTGAGAAAATGATAGTTTTCTCGATCCTCCAAGTAATTTTCGTATTGTGTTAGTGCCGAAGGTGCTCTTACTCTCTGTCAGTAAATTAGCGTCCCCTGGGCAAGTGCTCTACATTTGTCTACATATAAACGAATCTGTGAAAAGGAATAAATCCTGGTGAAGATATGCTCAGTGAACATTCTTTCACAAAGTGATGAGTCATGATAATTGGCATGGCTATGTCGTCGTCGTTTTTATCAATTATATCTGGACTATTTAGGCACAATTACCTTCGTTTATACTGACCAACCCTTTGATTCATGATGCCGATCCTCGTTGAATGGAGACAGAAATGCCATCGCTAAGACTGTGGCTATATTTCCTGTTTATTTCATGTCTAGAAGCTTGAAATGGATCCTGTCACCCCATTCCCATTTAAGATAAAAATTAATAGTACCAAAGCTGGGTGTGACCACTCATCTCTTCTTAGAGATTTGTAACATAAAACCTTTCTTTCCTTTATTCTTTTTACATGATTGTTTTGATCTTTGCCAATTTTTCTTCAACTCGCTATTATTCCAAATGTCGCTGAAGCAAACGACGGGGATGGCACGCAGTTCAGAACATTATTAGGATAAGGGTTGCCTTGTCGTTGCCATTAGTTTACAAACACTGACTTGCGAGGTTTCAACCTTGTAGAATGGAGATCAGTCTGCCACAGTAAAATCCTATTTCCGCGAACTAGAGGTAAAATACGCATATGTAATGCACTGGCTTGCAGCCGCAGGGTAAAATGAAACTCCGCCTATGTTTATAGCCGGTCCCAAGCCCGGGTAAAGGAGGAGGGTTGTGTTAGGCCATCAACAGCCAATGTAAAAATTTGTTGAATCTATCATGAACATGGACAATAGACGTTATAATGTTAATGCTAGGTCGTTGCCCGTAAGTAACGCGCTGCATGGCTCGAGTACAGTGATAAGTGAGTTAGAGCCGCTGCATCGGCGCCCGGATGTAGTGTTAAATGAGCAAGGGCTACCGCGTCATTCTGGACGCACGCGGCTAAAGAAGTTAGTCCATAAGAGCAAAATTAGATTTGGTACTTGGAATGTTGGGACATTAAATTGTAAATCTGTAGAGGTTGTAGGGGTTATGATTCAAAGGAAAATCAATATCCTTTGCTTGCAAGAAACAAAATGGCGTGGAGAAGAAGCTAAGGATATTCAAGGTTTCAAACTTTGGTATACAGGAAAAGTAAGTGCACGCAATGGAGTAGGCATCATTATAGATAAGGAGTGGAAGAAGAACGTTGTAGAAGTTAGCAGAATTGGAGACAGAATTATTTCTTTAAAAATGATAATTGGACGTGAGACTGTTAATATTGTTAGCGCTTATGCGCCGCAAGTCGGGACAGAAGCCAGTCTTAAGGAATTATTTTGGGAGGATCTGGAGGGGTTGATTCGACACATACCACAGAGTGAAAAGATTTTTATTGGAGGAGACTTTAATGGGCATGTCGGGAGGGAAGCTGGTCAGTATGCGAGGGTGCATGGTGGTTTTGGTTTTGGAGAGCTAAACAATGAAGGGCAAACTCTTCTTGATTTCTCATTGGCGTATGATTTTAAGATTGCCAATACTTGTTTCAAGAAGAGAGATGAGCATCTCATCACCTACAAAAGTGGAGCCTCAAGGTCGCAGATTGATTTTCTTTTGGTTAGGAACACAGATAGAAAACTTTGTAAAAATTGTAAGGTGATCCCTGGAGATGCTGTAACGACACAACATAGGGTCCTAGTCCTTGATGTGTGTATTATGAGTAAAATCCAAAAACGTCGACAAGTAGTAACACCAAGGATTAGGTGGTGGCAATTAAAAGGTGAGAAGCAAGATATTTTCAAGCGAAATCTTTTGGATAAAGGAATTTGGGATTCTCAGGGAAGTGCTAACATCATATGGGAGGATATGGCTAAAAAGATACGGGAGGTTGCAAAAGTAGTTTTGGGAGAATCGAAAGGTCCTGGTCCGAGAGATAAGGAGTCTTGGTGGTGGAATAATAGTGTACAGGACAAAATCAAGTATAAGAAGAACTGTTTTAAAGCCATACATTTGTGTAACAATGAGGAAAATTGGGAGAGGTACCGTATGGCTAAGAAGGAAACTAAGAGAGCTGTGGGTGAAGCTCGTTCTAAAGCTTTTGAAGAATTTTATAAGAACCTTGAGACGAAGGAAGGAGAGCAAAATATTTATAAGATTGCCAAGAGTAGGGAAAGAAAATCAAGAGATCTAGAACAGGTAAGGTGTATTAAGGATGAAGAGGGAAGAATTTTAGTTACAGATGATGAAATTAAAAATAGATGGGAGACTTATTTTTCTAAACTTTTCAATGATGGAGAGGATTCATCTAGTAACTTGGAGGATTTAGTAACTGGTGAAGGAGAACAAAATTTGTCATTCTATCGAAAAATACGTGATAAGGAGGTAAAGGAAGCTCTTAAGAAAATGGCAAATGGTAGAGCTAACGGACCTGATTGTATATCTATCGAAGCGTGGAAATGTTTAGGTGAAGAAGGGGTGAGATGGTTAACTAAGTTATTTAATGTGATTTTACGGTCCAAGAAAATGCCTGATGAGTGGAGGAGAAGTACATTAATTCCTATTTATAAAAATAAAGGAGATATTCAGAATTGTACTAACTATAGAGGGATTAAACTCATGAGCCACACAATGAAATTGTGGGAGAAAGTAATTGAGCATAGGTTGAGATTGGAGACAAGTATTTCTGAGAATCAATTTGGTTTTATGCCAGGTAGATCAACTACAGAGGCGATTTATCTACTAAGGGGATTAATGGAAAAGTATCGTTGTAAAGATAAAGATCTACACATGGTTTTTATTGATTTGGAAAAAGCTTATGACCGTATACCAAGAGAAGTGCTTTGGAAAGCGTTGGAAAAAAAGGGAGTACGGATTGCTTATATTAAAGCCATACAAGATATGTATGAGGGGGTAAAAACTAGTATAAGAACGCCTAGTGGTCAAACAAAGGATTTTCCTATAAAGATTGGGCTACATCAGGGATCATCTCTGAGTCCTTATTTGTTCAACTTGATTTTAAATGTTTTGACGGAACATATTCAAGAGGAAATCCCGAAATGTATGCTCTTCGCGGATGATATAGTTCTTATAGCAGAGACAAGAGAAGAGGTTAATTGCAAACTTGAGTTATGGAGGAGGACATTGGAGTCGAAAGGTTTTCGTCTGAGTAGAAGTAAGACGGAATATTTATATTGTAAATTTGATAAAGGACTATTCGAAAATAATTTGGAAGTAAAATTGGGAGATCAAATTATACCTCAAGTGGAAAAGTTTAGATATTTGGGAGCCATTATCCAAAATGATGGCGAAATCAGTGGAGATATTTCACATAGAATTCAAGCTGGGTGGTTTAATTGGAGAAAAGCTAAAGGAGTTATTTGTGACCGTAAGGTGCCTAATAAACTTAAAGGAAAGTTTTATCGTACTGCTATTAGACCGGCAATGTTATATAGTAGTGAATGCTGGGCTCTAACGGGACAGCAAGAGCATAAAGTTGGAGTAGCAGAGATGAGAATGTTACGATGGATGTGCGGACATACACGTAAAGATAAAATTCGAAATGAGCACATACGTGAAAAAGTGAGGGTGGCACCTATTGAGGAAAAAATGGTAGAAAATCGGTTGAGATGGTTTGGGCATGTACAAAGAAGACCAAGGGAGGCACCAGTGAGAAGAGTGGAACATATAACTTTGAGTCCGATTAAGAGAGGTAGAGGAAGGCCTAAGAGAACACTCTTGGAAGTTGTTGAACGTGATCTCTTAATTAATAATATTTCTAAAAGCTTAATAAATGATAGAGCACAATGGCGTCTTGCAATCCATGTAGCCGACCCCACCTAGTGGGATAAAGGCTTGTTGTTGTTGTTGTTGTTGAAATGAAACTTCTATTAAGAAAACATGTACAAACAAAACACAAGTTCTCTGAGCATCTTTTCATCCCGTCTACTGTATATTTGGAGTCGTGCCTCTCTAAGTGTTCCTCCCTGGGCTGATTTAATTATTTAATTTTAACCCCAGTAAGAAAATGCCACCGACAATATGAGGCCTCCGCGCCCTGTATCATGAGGGCGAAAAAGTCAATTTAACAGAAGGTTCTGGCCTTTCGGGTTCTATTGTAACTGTCCATTATTTCACAGTACTAGCGGTTTGCGGCTCTGTTTTTTTTTTTTTTTTTGGGGGGGGTTATAGGATGATAAAATTCTCTCGTCAATGATCCATTTTTAATATTCCTTGCGTATAAACAAATATAAATTATTTTTAATTAAGTTTTACTTTTTAATAAAATAGTTATTTATTTTTAAATTAATACCATCTTTTCATGTTTATTTCTATTTAATAACATATTTTAGTTGGGATGTTAAAAATATTTTATATTTTTAAATATTTAACCTTTTTAAAAATATTTTATATTTTTAAATCAAAAAAGTACATTGAAGAGTAGACTTAACATGGGTAGCCATGTTGTTAAAAAAATACATAGTGATGCATTTTAGAATTACTGAATTATCATACTTCACCATGTGTTTTGGTGTTTGCCATAAGATTTAAGGAAGATTTAAGCTTTTACTTTCGAATTGTATCTAGATGCATTTGACGACCACGTTTTTCTTTTTCACTGACTGGAGGCATAGTTCAACGTCAACATTATTTGTTAATGAGTAATGACGATCTTTCTCTCCTTATTTCTTATACGAGCCAGTATATTCTTCATTGTTCCTGTAGTATGCCCCCTGGCAATTCGCCAAAAGGACGTTCTCATTCGTCACCACTACGTTGAGTTCAAAGTTGATCAGCTTCAATCAGATCAGCAATGAGTAATGACCTGTCTCATCCAGGACTATTCTGACAGCCGAGAGGGATACAAATGATAGTCTACCTTCTGTTCAATAAAATACCTTAAAGCATAATTAATCAACTTAATCCGATCTTCGATTCAAATATAAGAATGAGTATTGATGCTGACATCTGTGATGTAATTTTGATAATTCCACCGTAATTAAACACGCAAATTTGTGAGCCCCACTGTGAATGACGACGTGATGATTGATCCCAAGATCAACGGCGGAGACATTTCATCACAAAAATGAGATGGCATTTTGAGTAGTACTAGATTATATACGGGTAGTTGTAAGACTGGAGTACCGAGCGCTCCAGTCCCATGCCCTTGCCTGCTGTGGTATCAGTGTTGTTGAAATCAAACTGAATCAGACAGTTTGATCATCACATGCTGAATAAAATGATTTAGTTCAACTAATTAAATTAATCTAGTATTTGAATCAGGTTGATTCGGATTGAATCAGCCAATTTTAAAAGAATCGATTTTAACTCGAAAACTGAAACTAGGTCAACTTGATTCTAAGCCAAAAAAATTTAAAAAAAATTGGTTTAAGTTGTTTAGATTCACCAGTTCTCTTCTCTAATCATTAATTCTCTATTTTCTTTTCTTCTCTAATTTCTTTTTCATGGCCCAAATCTAATCTCTAATTTTTTCTCCAATCTTTGCCTCCAGCTCTAGAGATTCAACTTTTGACATCGAGATCGAAAGCTTATGAATCATTACATGACAGCGTGCCTTCAATTCTAGCATTTTCCTTTGAGATCACAAGTTTGTGCTGACATGCATCTATCTTTAACTCTAACAATTTAAGCACATAATTTTTGGAGTCGAGATCCCGAACATTATTGATAAATTAATATTTTATTTATATAATTACATATATAAATATTATTTTTTATTTAATTTTTATGTTACTAATCTGACTGCTGGCCTAATCGATTTAATTATGAAAATTGCAATCCGTTATTCTTTTTAATTTAATGTTCGGTTCGGATTTCAAAATAGTGTATGGTATTGACCCGACAGCTTCTTCTATCGTGTCTTATGCCACGTCTTCCTTGCATTCGGGACGTTGCTTTAGCCTTTGGGCGCCTCGTCCCGTACCAAGAAAAGTCTCGTCTCTATAATATTATTTCAAGTATAATGCTGTTTTTTGTTTTTCTCAACTTTTTCTAAATTTTTTTCATTCTTACGTCTCCCGAAGTCTTCTTTCATCCTGTTGAAGCCAAGCATCGATCCTACCAGTTCAAGTTGCTGGCAGTTCTGAGTTTCGGTTGAAGAGGGCAAAGTTCGTTTCTTTCTTTGGGAGGTAAATTAGTTTCTTTTCAAGCTTTTTGTGGCTCCTAATTATTCGTAAGAGCTATCATCTTCGATTTTTTTTCCCTTTCTCTGTCTTCTTTCGAATGATTAGGTTTCTTTAGCCGATGCATTCAGCTGGATCTGTTGGGTCAATATCCTTGTAAAATTTCCAGATCTGGATTCTAGGGGAAGCATACTGGCGCTGGAGCTACCTCTTTTTCTATTGCTTTTATGTTTGTTGTTTTAATCTTGATGCATCTACAAATTCGTAAAGATCAATTAACAGTAGCCCTGTCTTGTTTCCCACCCAATTCAAGTTTCCCCTGAATTTAGTAAAATGAGATTCACTTTGCAAATTAGTCTTTACTTTTCATAGGATCGCACGGGTTCTGCTGGTGTTATTACTCGTAATTACTTTAGCATTGTTATTTTTCATTTTTTTTTCCATTTTTGCAAGTTCATAATTTTTTTTTTGGCGAGTTCATAAATTTTACTTTTAGATTTTTCTCTCTAATTCGCATCCGAAATAACTTTCGCCATTTATTAATTATTTTAAAGGGCGAGTTTGATTAAATCATTTGATTTATGCTTGCAGGTGACACAAGGCTGCTTCTCTTCTGAATTCTAACTTTGTTTACATCAAGTTATGTTCGCATGCTAGCCTACTTGTTGCACACAAGAAAGGCTGTTTTCCATCTCAGCTAATGACTGATTGATGAGAAATTCTATTTCGCACGCTTGCCTACTTGAGAACTACTATTGACTGATTATAGGCCATCTTCACATTCCTGCTGCATGCAAGGTCTTCTTCACGATCCATGGGGGAGTGGATCGTTGGAGCGTTCATCAACTTTATTGGAAGCATTGCTATAAACTTTGGAACAAACCTCCTTAAGTTAGGTCATAATGAGGTATGGAAAATCTTTTCTTCTGGTTGGAACTTTTTGTGACGTGCCTTCTTAAATGTTCATTTTCTTTTTGTAATGAAGTGCAAAATTTTCCCTGGTGATTTTTTTTTTTTTAAAGATTTTACCTGTTCAAAATGTGGACAAGTTTGGTTAATATGGGTTTTCTGACTATTTAATCTTGGTCACTGATTTTAATTTTTAGTGTACGGTCAACTTGATTTTTCGGAATAAATAACAATTACCACTTGAATGTTTATAGCATTCACTAATGTTATCGAAGGCAATGGCAGAGGTAGACAAAAAAATTGTAAAACTTTTTTGTATCTTATTTTTTTAAAAAAATAATCATACTTATATAGTGTATTATTCATAGTGTATTGTTTAAATACGATTCTTCCTTTCAAACTTTTGGAATAAATTGAACGAGATTAACTCACTGATAATATTCTTTGTTTCTCACTCCTAAATCTAGTCGGAAAATTGACTTTAAATTAGTAGTGTATAAAAAATTGCTTTTCATAATTATAATACCTCCTATTTTTCTACCTATACAATGAGAGCATTTTTAAAGGAAAATTGTTAATCTCATGAAGCATGAAAATTATTACTGTCAATTTGCGCACGCACATCCACAGAACTATGTTGCTCAACAAGATTTCAAAAAATTTGTACTATTTTCATATGCAATTGTTGGCCCACAAGAAAATAATATATTGAAATTTGAAACTGACTATTTTTTACTCAAGTACTGTGGAACTATTAGTGATAAAAAATCTATCAAAGGTATGCATTGATTAAACATAAATGGGACAATAGAAACACTATAGGCTAGGAGATAATAAAAGGAAGGAAAGGAATCATGGTATGAAGTCTAACAAACTAAGGATAATATGGGAAAAGGGGGGAGAAGAACTGAAAGTGAGGATGAAATGGAAAGGGCATAAAAAAGTAGGAAGAAAATAAAAAGTTAAAAATGAAATGAAGGAAAAGAGGAAAAAACACATGTGAAGTTAGTGGGTCTAATTTAAACTTTCAAATAATTAGAGGATACATGTATGAGCTCATTAAATTTTGTGGGTCCAGTGAGTTCAACATTTCAAGAGATATTCAAGTATCTTATCAAAATCCATAATACATACATGCGTTTGGCAAAATCTAGGATAACCCGTCTCTCCAATGTGGGTCTGCCATTGATTGATAGGGTTACCTTTGTATGTCAGTTCTATCTGATTCTATTTGTTTTATATCTGATTAGTGTCATGATATCAATATTTGAATTTTGTCTTTAAGATGTAGCCTTTGATAATTTTAAGCAAAAAAAAAAATATCAAATAACTTGGAGACATTAAGATGATGCTCTATTTTTACTGCAGAGAGAAAGACATTCTGCAATTGAGACTGATGGGAAGCTGACTCCAAAACCTATTATATACTTCCAGTCATGGAGAGTTGGTACAGTTTTAGTTGCATTTATATATGGGTTTTGCACGTTATACCTTTGTTGGCTGATTCCTGGCTTCTGATTTGCATGCATAATCTTGATATGCAGGAATTGTAGTTTTCTTTCTTGGGAATTGCCTCAATTTCATTTCGTTTGGGTATGCTGCTCAGGTATGATTTCTGTATTGTTGATGGGATTTCAAGCTCAACATATGAAGTGGTTTTATTTTTCTCATAATTTTTTTTTGGGTGAGTTGATACATATTTTGTGAGATTATATATTCATTTTTTTTTAATTGGTTTGGCATATTCCATGTGCTTCTGATTTCTTTTTCTTGTTCTGTCTATCATGCAGTCACTGCTTGCTGCCCTGGGATCTGTTCAATTTGTATCTAACATTGCATTCGCCTATTTTGTCTTGAACAAAATGGTGACTGTCAAGTATGTTAAATTAGATCTAGATTCCCTTTTCACGTTTCATTTTTACCGCTCTTTGTTATGGTTATGTGAATTCCAGTGGCTTGATTTTTGTCATTTAAACAGGGTGCTGGTCGCCACAGCCTTCATTGTTCTTGGAAACATCTTTCTAGTTGCTTTTGGCAATCACCAATCTCCTGGTATATAACCTGGGCACGTTTCCCTCCTTTCTTTAGTAGAAATCTTGGGTGGCATTTGTGTTTAAGAGATAGGAAGGAGCTTTTCTAGATCTTCTTCTTTAATTGACATGTGAATTAATAAGTTCTCTATGCTTATTGATTGATAAGATTTCGTCCCTGGTAAACTCAGTTGCTATTTGGTAAATTAGATGTTCATTGTAAAGAAGATATTTTAATGGATATTAGCTGATGTATAATAAACTGCTGGCATTTCAGTTTATACACCAGAGCAGTTGGCAGAGAAATACTCCAATATTCCATTGCTTCTTTATCTTCTAGTTTTGATTATAGTTGTTGCTATGCACCACTACATATACAGGTGATTACAGAAATTTGACAAGTTGTTACTTAAATCAAATAGTTGCTTTCCTTGCTATTAACATACGGAATATGTAGGAAAGGAGAACTTCTGCTTGCTGTATCAGGACAAGACCTCAGCCCCTATTGGCACATGCTGCTGCCATTTTCCTATGCTGTAGTTTCTGGTGCTGTAGGTTCTTGCTCAGTGTTGTTTGCAAAATCCCTGTAAATCAGCTACTCTAACATGTCAATTTGTTATATGACACTACAGCTGTACTGATGTCTAATGCAGAATTCTTTTTGACTTTTGGCAGTTCGAACCTCCTACGACTGGCCATGTCTGGTGGTTATCAGTTGCACGGCTGGTTCACATATTCCATGCTTCTTTTATTTCTTAGTACAGCTGGATTCTGGGTAAAGCAATAATTTGTATTTATATTTTCCACTATCTGCAGGTGTTATTATGAGGGGAACTTTTGGATATAAATTGACCAACTTGTAGTGGATGCTTATCCAGTCTATTCTTATGTGCAGATGGCAAGGTTGAATGAAGGGCTGTCCCTGTTTGATGCAATTCTTATTGTTCCCATGTTTCAGATTGTTTGGACTTTCTTCTCTATCTGTACAGGATTTATCTATTTTCAAGAATATCAGGTACACTCTACTTGAATGTCCTGGTGAATTTTATACTATATGTATTAAAGGACTGACCATTGGAAATGAATTATTATTCTGAGTAACATCTTATTATTAACCAAGAACAGGGGTTGAATATTTTAGTGAAGTTAATTAAGTCATTGCTTTGGGTTATTAATGAACCAGGCATCATGGATTTTGTCTGTTCCAGTTCTTTTAGCATCAGCAAGAAGTGACTAATTTAGGCCAAACATTCTCTGTCACCCGACCTCCTCTCACAAAATCATCTAATTTAATGTTGTAATTATTTTCTGGCAATTGTATTGTTTGAAACCATCCATTTTTATGTCCATTCCATTCATTGATGTTTTATACATACATATACATAGATACATACATACATATATATATATATATATATCAAATAAGAGAAGGGTAAACTTGAGTAGCTTCCTACAGTAAGTTCCTCCGGTAGTCAGGCATGCAGATGATAGGTGGTTTATATGAAAGTATCTTGTCATTTGACGCTTAACCCTGGCAGCATGCAATTCTCGATTTGTAGATTAGGTATCATTATTTGGATAGATGCTAGTGTTCTTGGATCACAGATTTTGGTGTCATGCAAATCTCATCTTCCTGAAAGCAGGTATTTGATGCGTTGAGGACGACAATGTTTGTTCTTGGAATGATTTGTGTGTTCGTTGGCATTTCATTGCTGGCACCTGATGAGCCAAAAGGTTTTGTAATTATATGAGTTGATGCCTTTTACTCATATGCTGGTGGAAAATATGTAGCTTATTCTGAAAATTTTCAGGTCATGAGAGTAAAGATAGTTCTTTGGATACCGTGGTGTCTTCTGGTATTTCATCGGAGATGAACAGGTACAATGCATGCCCTAATGGAAACCTTGAACCATTAGGCCTCCACTTTCTCTTGTGATAGATATTTCTGGAAGGCTACTAAATGAGTGAATCCCTAGCACGTGGTTATGCTATAAAGTTGTTTCTGTGGCATAAATGTTACTTGTGTCTTGGGGCAACATTCAGGAGAAACTTTGTACCCATAACATCAGTCGCTGTTTGGTATAATGTAACTGAAGTTCATACCCTGTTGATCTGTCGCAGACTGGTGGTGTCATCTGAGGAAGCACAAAACAAAGACACAAGAACACACATAAAAGGATTGTTATTTAAGGCGGCGGATGTGCTAGTGAAGGCAAAGGTATGTACTAATAATTAATAAGTGGTCAAGTATTGTTGTATGACGCCCTTGTGAATTGAGTTTTGAACTGTGGCTGCAGAATGCATGTGCATTGTCTCTGGGTTTGGGGGAGGATACCATTCATGCATCTTCAGTTCTCGTGATGCCAATGATGTCATCCAAATTGACTGGATTTAGAGGGAGTGGACTTGAGCGCTCTAAGATTTTGTCCATCAGGAATTCTGGTTGGGGTAAGATCCCTCTGCATGAAGATGCTGGCAAGATACTCGAAACTAGTCCGATTCTCCCAGAGAGCCCCTGATATATATTTCCTGCAACTTCTTCCACGCCATTTTTTTTTTGGGGGGTCTTATTCTTTTTCAAGTTATTGCTGGCGATGACAAACAGAATTATCAGCATTCATTTAGTAGATATGTTAGAGAAATCATGTAACTTCCCACAAAAGATGAAAAAGAAGAATAGTGTAAATTGTTGCTTGCATATTTGAGAAAGGAAAATTGGAAAAAAAAAAATTAGTAATCGAAATATGCCAATTTGGAGGGTGAAGTTTGGTGGTTGACAGTTACAACTTGCCCAAAACAATTTACATAATTAGCATTTGAATCTTTTGGAGTTAAAAAGCCTCTCTCTCTCTCTCTCTCTCTCTCTCTCTCTCTTCTTTTAACCCTTGCCTGCCTGTCTTTCTTTGGTATTTCTATACGCTTCGACCGTTACGTAAAATTTAATAATTTTGAATTTTAATATGAACTTAGTAGTTAAGATATAAAAGTTGTGATATCATAATTCATAACTAAGTAAAAAGAAATGAACCCATCAGCAATAAGTGGTGAGAGATACGTTATTATCTAATAAATTCTCGTCAAGTAAATGAAAGAATCTTTCTTTCTTCCTGTATCAAAGGCCATGTCCACCTTTCAGGTTTATTCAATATAACACTTAAAATTACACGTTTATATACAAGTTATTTTCGTAACAGTTTTTTTAACAAGTTATTTTCTTTAAGCATTTATCTACAATATGAAACCCCTTTGCCTTATCGCTAAGATGTTATTTGGTGTTCATTTTCACGTATTGCCGAGCATGAGTATTAGCACTAGCATTGTTGCTTATACATTGCATTATATCATTAATTTAGATCTTAGATTTCAAAAATAACTCATTTGTTTATATAAAAAAATATTTATTCTAAATTTGGTGGTAATAAAATATTTAAGAAGGGTCAAATTCTGAATAATTAATAAGGACATTGACATAGCGTGGCGCGGATTTAAATTCGGAAGCGTCAATCGTATCAAGCGTGAAAAGCAATTAATAGTTTGAAAACGCTATTATTGGGAGAACATTTGATTAAATAATGAACATAAGCAGCCAATAATGAAGTTGATGTTGATTCCCATTTTTATTCAGAATGAATCAAAATGTTTGGAATACAGCTCAAATAACGGTACAGCATTCGTACAGCTCTGAGTAGTTGACGAGGAACAAGAGTGGATTCCATGTTTTAAGGGCATGAATGATTTGCTTACAACAGACAAGAAAACGATTGATTCAGTCTTTTTAACCTTCTCTCGTAAGCTGAAGATACGAGAAATTGTCAAATATATATATATATATATATATATATTTTGCCCGAGTAAGATACTTAATTATTCCACATGCAGCGCTCAACATTTACAAGGACAAAGACTTCACGTTCAATACGAAAATGCAAGCTTGTTTTCACACCTTTCATTATATTTCAGTCATTAGATTTTCTTGACACGCGTTGATTCGATTTGATCTTTTTTTTTTTTCATTTGAAGTTTTTTCGTTGCAATAGATGCGTGATGTAACATAATATAAATCTGAAAGTCTTCACCTAATCATAAAATATAAAATCAGCAACATGAAACCATGTGCTTGATAATTATCCAATTATGTTACTGCTATATTTCAAGATCAAGTTAACGCTAAAATGATTTCACGACCATAGTTGAAAATGCAGTTTCAACGCTAAAAGGGGTTGAGCTGTTTTGGTGAAACTATGTTCAGTTTGTGTATTAATTGTCCTTCTGATTTAAGTGTTTGTGAATTGGAAGCGTAGAGAGAAAGGGGGGGGGGGGGAATACGACTTATCACTTATCTGTGTTAACTATCTGTAGACAAAGTAAAGTAAAATTGAAGTGAAAAACTTTGAGACGTTACATGTGCTTGAATAATCAAAATGTCATACATATGCACACAAAAGCCACATTCTTAAAAAAAAAAAAGTTGATAATTCCTTATTTCCTTTTATAAGTCACTTTATATATTTAAAAAACAGATCATTCATTACTTTCTGTTTTTTAATTCCACTCTTTCATAATTTTCACAAGTAGAACAAAATGTCACGTAAGGATAACAAATTATATGAGAAAACATAACTTTAAATTCATGTACTTTACTCATATTTTGTTATTAATTTCTGTACTTTTTTTTGGTGTTTTTTGTCTCTGCATTTTTATTTTTTATTATTTTAAATTTTTTTAAGGTCTCTATATTTTATTTATGGAGGTATCTAAAATAATGAAAAATAAAAATACAGAAATCAAAAACACTGAAAAAAAGTACAGGGATCAATAACAAAATGCAAGCAAAATATAGAGATCTAAAATTATATTTTTTAATATTGTATAATTTGTATACAATGAAATAGTTAGAAATGACTAGAGGTGCTGATTCTATTACATGTAGATCAAACATATGATTCAATGCCGTTTGAACTTTAATTTGAAGACAGTCACAGAGAGGATGTGTGGCAGATGGGGTGAAAATAAATTACGTGGAAGACAGTTGTTGGAGCGATATTAAAGCATTAACCAAAAGCAGAAGGAAATAATATTCCAAAAGATTGCCCACCCCACCTACAATGATGCAACCGGGAGCCCAAAAACAAAACATATACACATACCAGAAAACCTCAAATATCCAAAACATTAAACCACCATACATAAAGCTGCACATTACTTGAAACAATATGAAATTTTGAACTAATGCTCCAGAGCCTATACAACAATAGATACACAGGGGAAAAGGCCATCAACATGCAAGATTTCAGAGAATACATATCTCTCAGAAATGCTATATATCCTGTGCGTGCACGTCAGGGTACTCTAGTAACTGGGTACGGCTTTGCATCCTGAGCTGTTCATAGAACCTTCTAATGAAATCCTCGGCCTGGTCATCAACCAGACCATTTCCAGGCTCCTCGGAGTCATCAACAGAAGAAAAATTGGATATCCTCACAGAAAATGGCGATGGAAGAGGGCTCCTTCTGTCACCAGCAGCAAAATCAGAAGGATCGAACCTGAGATTGAAGGCGTAGTCTGGGGTTTTGGGCATCAAAACCATGGCCTTAGGGGGCTCTGGTTCCGTCTCCTCTTCGTCCACGACCTGAGGGTGGTTGATGCAGGGCAAGTTGAAATGGTGCTTGCGCTTGTGAAGGTGGAGAAAACCAGGGTTGGGGCTGTTGCTGCAAGAGAACTCGTACTCCATGCCGAATCCTCCTCCACGTGTCACGCTCTTGGAGTGATAATGATGATGGGATGACATGAGATTGCTCAGAGATTTCCTCAGCAGCTTCCCCTTCTTCATCATGAGATTCATGTCCATTATCAGCTTCCTCTTGGATATCACGCCCTTCCTCATCATCAAGAAGCTGATCCTCAACACATTCCATAGCCTTCTCGCTGCGTTTGCAGAATTCAGCTCCATTTCACACCCTTACGATTTAAAACAAAAAAATGACTGTGTGTGTGTGTGTGTGTAAATATAGGGTTTATATTCAACGGGGCAAGAAAACAGAGAAAACGAATGAAGGTTGGGGTGAAGAAGATGGAGGGTTTTCTTGTTTCTGCGAGGAAACTCGCAGAAGAAAAGAAAACCCGAGGTGAGAATATGGAGTGGCAAGTGGGGTGGGTTATATAGGAGGCACAAATGATGAAGCTTGAGGATATTTAATTGAACTATTTAATGAAGGAAGCGAGTAAGAAGGCTTGTAAATTGCAGAAGAGGGTAATGTAGGAATGAACAGGACCCAGCAGCCGGTCCACTCTGCATTTTGAAGGGAAGGCATAAAATATAATGAGGATGTATGAGCATAGTAGGTTTGGCGTCGAATTCAAATACAGCTAGACACAGAGTGTAATGTTTAAGAATTCAATTAAACGAAGAGAAGAGCCGGGTCGGGCGGTGAAAAAAGAAAAGGAAATGGAAGGGCTCAATATGATGTCGTGGCAGAAACACAGACAATGAGGATAGAGATTGCTTGTCGTATTCAGTTTCCAGAAAATGTTATTATTTGGTTTGTGAGCGAAAAGGAAGCTTCGGTTCAGTGCGGCCGTTGAAGTATATAGGGGACAAGTAATATACTATACAGGATATGCAATTTCCCCTTACAATGGAAGCTTTTTATATAATTGCTTCATTAGTTTGCCTTTGCATGTCGGAATCTTCCAGGAGGCTTGATGCCCAATTCAAGGATTGCTTAGCTCCCTTTGCCCTCCCATTAAAATAACAGGTACGCAAGGCTAATTCTTTATTAATTCCTTTTGCTCATGGCCATTAGTGGAGGTGCCACTCGTTCGTGTCTGTCAAAACGGGATATGCTCATTTGATTGGCCAAAAAGTGCCCTCAACTATGATTGAAGGCACGCACCTCCTCGTTAGATTTTGTGAACTTGATCCTGGATAATGTGGAGTGGCAATTCGTGAGAAACTGAGATATTGCATGAAAGATCTGACAGCCAATTCAGGTTGAGTATGCTGAGAGTAGAAGCAAATGCATCGCTAGGACCTCATTTCAATATCAAACTTCTAATTTCCTAAATTTGAAGAAAAGATTAATATTTATGGCCCTCGCTCCTACCTTAAGAACTAGATAATTTACAGAGATCAAAAAATTAATTGAATTAGTTATTTATAAAAAATGTGCTAGTTTTTCCAAAAAATCTCTTTTAATTACTTACATTGAAAAAGATTCTTATTGATAGCATCATAGAAACCTCTTTAATGGTTTAGAAGAAAATACAATTTTAAGAAATAAATTCAAGCCCAATATAAAAATAAATTTAAATGAATAGTTTATCAAACTTGGCTCATGTTCCTAACTCTAAATGGAATGAGATAAGAGGGATGAGTTAGAAAAATTAGGCATGAGATTGTGATGGGGTGCATGGAAATGAGATGAGAGCAAAGAAAAAAGACAAAAGGGGGGCAAAATGATGAGGGGAAGAGGGGGTGTTGCAATAATTGGAGTTTGGCGAGAGGGTGTACTAAAAGGGGTCCTTCAAATGAAGTTGGTTTGTTAGGCTTATTACCAAGGCACCTTCTCAACCAAAGCGTTCCATTCAATTCATTGGCCTAAGAAATTCCTTTGCCTTCAAAAAGTACTCTAGTTTAAATTCGGAAATGTACTGATACGCATTCAATTCCATATGTTTTTATCACTTAAATAGGTCATTCCCATTATGAACTTTTTTTGTTTGTGGTAAAACCATTATGAATTATTTTAATTATTCAATGTTAACTGGGAGGGAGTTACTGGATAAGAATCTTTGCTGGAATTTAGGTGCTGGTACAAATATTAAATTGTTGCTATTGATGGAGCAACTATCAACAAAAACCTTACAGTTGTTGATGTCATTGTAAATGAATGATCATTGGGATTTATCTTCTATCTCTAATACCTGTACCCTTGAGACTATTGCCGGTGTTCTGAAAATTCACACTCCTCAACAACCTGCTTCTGATACTTTAGCTTGGACTGCTGCTAACAATGGTGTTTATTCTGCTAAGCTTGGTTACAGAACATCAAAGGCTGCCTCTTCCCAGGTAATCAACAAATCTCCAAGCTCTTCCTTTATCATTTCTAATGACCTTTGGAAGTGCATTTGGCAGCTTAAACTGCAACAAAAAAGCAAACACTTTATCTGGCGCGCTTTAAATAGGTCATTAGCCACCAAAGATCTCTTTATAACAGAAAATATGCAATGAATCCTCTCTGCACTGTTTGCAAATCTCACCCTGAGGCTACTGAACACTTGTTTCTTTTATGTGATTGGGCCAAGCAGGCTTGGTATGGACGCTACCTGACTTTGAGAATTGATCCAACTGATATTTTCTCTTTTGATCGTTAGTGCAGTAAGTATTTTCTCCATGATTCACTCTTGGATGATTATGGCAAGCTATATGTTGCAAACTCATGTTGGAATATTCGGAAGCTAAGGTCCACCTGAACGCATCCTTTTCTTTTTTAGCTCTCCTGAACGCATAATTTGTGTATAGTGCACTGGCTTGCCTTGTAAAGCATAAACGAGAAATGTAGCCTTCTGTTTTCAGCTCAACTCAGGCCCAATCACAGTGCTACGGCCGATTTTGTTACTAAATTAAATCAGTAATGTTCTATTATTCCATCTATATATAATATGACCTTTTTTTTTTTTTACAAATTCTAATTTTTGAGGCGGTGCCCTTTTCTCTACTATTCATTGAAATTTAAATGTTAAATAATAAGAATAATTTTTGAAAAAAATTTAATTTGATACTGTGTTACTAATTTCTTGAACTCATTGCCTCTTTTGCGGTTCATCCTTAACAACGCTTCTCACAATTGGCTTAGCTTCCTTCTTTCTGACCATCAGCTTTGTCGTTCGTTAAACGCCAAGGCAAATTATGACTACTACTTTTTTAATAAAAATAAAATGTAATAAGATTTAAAATTTTGAAAAATGCATATTTATCTTGTTGATGGAAACGGGTAATTTATTCTATTTTTCAGATAAGGATGGTTGTAAAAAGGAAACTTCTAGTAGAGTCTAAAACAGGGAATCTCGCCGTAAAACTTGCTCCACCGTCCAAGTAAAGTTCTCCACTATAAAGCACTAAAGCTACGTAATCTCCATCCACTATTTTTTTTTTTTTTTACTACGATCTCTGAATACAAGTACCCAATGTAAATTATATATTAAATCGGCACTTTTGATCTTCGTAAACCATATGCATAATTTCATTCTAGTTAATTTTAATGTTTATAAACTACATACAGATCAAAGTAGCAGACAGTCTTGTTGATAATTTTCATTTTCGTTACAGACCGACCCAGTCGGAAATTAAATTAAATGTTCAGTAATAGCTGATTAAGAATAAGTGGGAAGAAATTCTCATTCAAATGAACATACCTCCTTGTAATAATTAATGATAAACAAGTTAATTAGTACTTTTTCTGATCTTATTTGTCAATCACTTTCAATAATTTTACCATAACTAAACAAAACATTTAATTCCATTAATTCTATCTAAAATTTCAACAAACTTTTAATTTCACTCCCATTAAATATATCTATTTTAAAAATAAAATTCTCAAATATCTAATAACCCTCCTAACATTTGACAGGAATAAAAGAATAAAGATGGATATAATAATTAATTATTGAGACACTGGTGCCCCATAAAAGACCAAAACAAATATTCCATCTGTAGCTCAGGCGAGTAGCAGTTTTTCTTTGGACAGAGAACGATCGAGACGTCACGGGGAAGCAGTTAATGTGCTATACATGCACGACATGATTTATAGTCATTTAATTAATTAATAATGCACCAGAACATACATACGGTTCACAGTAAAGGCAAACCAAAAGTTAAAATTATACATATGCTTCTGTATGTACGTGCCCATAGAGATGAGACTTCTTCGCTCATTCAACCTTGTTCCTTCTTCATTCTCAGACTTTCTGCTACAAACTTTTCCATTTCCTCCTACTAAGTAACCATTCCAGCTGATATATCTTTACACCCTATCTCTTTCTTTCTACACACACACACACACACATATCTATAGAAACTGCTTAGAAGCTCCAAAAAAGTTATAATCAGTTCGTTTTAATCATTATTGATTAGTGTTGTTTCCACGGCACCTACTATCAGTTATAATCACGTGCATATCTTCTCTGCACAGGCAGCTGATATCATACCAAAAAACTAAAAATGTAATCGAACACGAACATTATATTCCATCTTTGTCATGATTATTTACAAATCCTAAAAGGTTAAATGTAAAACTGAAGGGCTCAATTATAAAGATTAAAAAAGTAGTTCAAATTAATGATAGATTATAAAATTCTTAAATTTTAAAAACTCAATTATAAAAAAGTAAAATACACAGACCTTTCCCATATGTTTTATCTTAATTATGTGAACCTTTATTCTATAGTTTTTACGACCTACATGTATGGTTTTATTGGAGACAATCTTGTTCAAAATACAGTAAAATATTAAATATGAATACCTCTTTTAATGAAAATTTAAATTGAAAGGAAGTATAAAAATAAAAGACTTAGTTGTAAAGTGTCACTTTTAATTTTCTTTGTCATAAAAACATTATGTTGAAATATTTTTAAATATTTATATTTACATTAATTAATAAGCCCAAACAGATTAATTTTTATGATTTTGTGTGAACCACACAAGTGAGCTCAATGAAAAAAGGCTTAACTTACAACCCTGAAGTCATCGATTATTTTCCATCTCTTGATTGATTGGGTCAAGAATAATTTGCGATAATTAACTAATTTATTTATGAAAGCGATTACTGAACTAGTTCATATAAGTCAATCAGTTGATAACTAATACATGATATATTTTTTATATTACTTTCATTATCTTTGGACTCACTAGAAAAACTATAGGGGTTTAACTCGAAATAATTAAGGTATCACAATTAATAATGGACTCTTTAGGTACGTACATCGCTTTACTCAAACTTATTTCACTCATATAAATTGAGATATTAAATCTAACGTACTTACGATCCTTCCTTGCTTATACTAATTAACTAAAGCATTATTCACCACAAAAACAAAGCAAAGGCAATCCTAATTAAAGAAGATTAGCTGACGCACTAGAGCTAGTTTTGGGGAATTACTTCAACGTAACGTTCGTTTCATAGTGCTGAGGCCTTCCGCGGCATAACTAACGTATTTATTTATTATTATACTTCAAAAATATCCATAATCAAAGGCTGATTAAATTAATAAACCAAATTGATCTTTACAGATTATACTGCGCCTCCCAGACCCTTCTTGTCTCCACAAAGTTAAAAAGATCGATGTGGTGCGCTCACTTTAATTAGGTCAAACGAGATTGTTGAGGGGGGAAGGTCGATGCATGCGTTTTCTAGTTACTTTTAGAAAGCCCCCACGTCTCGTCTCTCTTTGATTCTTCGTAGAAATTAAACATATCAAACCCCAGCTGCTATATTTGAAACTTCGTAAAGCTCTAAAAAGCGTACATGGATGATGTGAAAAAGTTCGTTTATTTAATTGCACACAACTGCATATAGACATTCACAGCTAGCTAGCTAGCTTGATATTTGTGGTTTGGATCGAGTAAGTGCAACAAGTCCACTATAATCTGTGTCGCACTTTGGGTAAAAATACAGATTAGGTTTTTGGGACCAATATTTACATGTGGATGGAATATGCATGCATACCAATATTATTATATATGCTTTTACAAATTGGAATGGCTGTTTGTAAATTAAGTAGCGGATTACTTTATATATAATTTCTTCCAAATCAAAACTTGTTTTACATATGTGGGGATTTTGGGGAGAATTTCGTGAAAAACATACTGCGTGCAACACCTTAATTACTAGCTTGCAAGGCTGCACCAGCAGGTCCACTTCTTTTAAATTTGAAAAAAGCCTGAGTAAAGCTAGCGTATAAAATTATGCTGATGATATACAGTAATTTGTAAATAATGCAGTTAGTTATAAATTTTATTATGCATCGCGATATATTGATTAATTAGTTAATGGTGGGCAAGTAATGAAGCGCGCGTGCCTTGCAATCCCATGTCCTTTGTGATGATATCCTATTGTTGTTTGGTAACAGACTCGCAAAAAACAAACAGCAAGTGGACACTTAGAAATAGAAGTAGGTAGGATCCAAATGAAAAATGAAAAATGTGAAGATATGTAACCTTAGGGGTTAAGTTTTCAACAGAGCCCTAAAATTCTTTTGCTGCAGTAAGAGTGGTCCAGAATTTTTGAATAGTATACACGAGGGCCTCGTTTTGTTGAAGATCTGTGAGTGCACTAAACAAAATCGAGATCCTTATTTCCCTAAAAAAAGAGAATATCTAATAGATCGACAGAGATTGCCAAACACAATGTCATTTGGCCCCTTAGTGGTCTCAAGAGAAGGAAGCGGTAATTGCCAAAAGCAGATGGTTATTTTAGTCATTAAGCCTAAAACAATAGGAAACCTAAAGGTCATAATTCGAACAGCAACTGTGCTGTAGAACGTATGATGGGGTTAGGTTTACCAATCTCTCTTTTCCTCAAAAGCTTCAAAGGTCTTCCCCACAAAGCAGGGCTCAAATTATTGAAAGAGCCAAACGGAAATGGCTAAGCTCCAATAAAATTCCTCAGCTTTTAGGAAGAGGGAATGGGGCCATCACATCATTATTTATGCTTTTTCATCAAGATATGAAACACTCAAAACTGCGAAAAGAGGCAAAATTCCCCCACGTACCCCACTCTTCCATGAATTCACAGATTTTGCTACGGCTTCGTATACCACTAGACCAGCCGTTACTCCCAAGGCCAATCATGTGAGGCCACCTGTCCCTTCACGTTTCTTGCTTTTTGAACCTTCCCTTTCGACCACTCTGTTTTCCTTTCCTTAGCCACCAATCTTCCTTCGTTTAGATTTATTTTCTAGCCCACTCACACAATTATAGAGCCGCTCCTCCTTGTCTATATAAACCCGTGTACCCACCTTGTAGTGTTTCATGCCAAATCACTGCTTTTGCATTCTCAAAGTACAAGCTCAGTGCAACTTTTCCTCTTGATATTTCATAATCTCTCCTTCTTCGTCCATCTATCTATCATTCGCTCACACAAAAGAGTTCCCAGATAATTTTTTTTGATAGCGATCTTTAAATCTAGCCTTAAAATACCCTCTCGGTCTGTTTGGCTACTTCATAAACTGTGTAGAAAACCATAAGTGTACAGTTTTTACATAGGAGTGAAAAGATGAAGAACAGAGCGTCTGCGTTGTTGAAGCAAATCATAGCTACTCTGAAGTCAATGGCAAAGTCGAAAGCCTTGGCTCTGAAGACAAAGACAAACGCCATCAAGACGCGCCTGGTCATATTCTCATTGCTGAGGAATAAGAAGTTTCTGATGAGCTCCATTTCCCACAAGCTGCGGTCTGTTCTGGGACATCATTCCTATCCCAAAGATGATAGCTTTCTGGAGGACGGATGCGACCAGAGCAGGGTGACGGTGAGCCACGACGAGAATGCCCACTCCTGCGAGGCCCTGCCCAGGCGCATGAAGATGGAGACAGTCTCGTCAGAGGATAAAGGTGAAGATGGGTATGAAAGTTGCTATAGGTATGAAGAGGAAGAGGAGGATGAGAAGTACCCGGATCTGACACACACTCTGTTCGACACAGAGGATTTCGAGGGCTCTGTTATTGATATGGTGAAGAGTTCGAAGGAGGCGGCCGGGGAAGAATTCAAACTGGAGGACGACATAGACCACGTGGCAGATTGGTTCATCAAGAGAGTCCACGACGACCTGATGTTGCAGAAGCAACAGTCAATCAAGAGGCACAGGGAGGAGATGCTAAAGAATAACGACGAGTGAATTCCAGAGTCAGCCAGATATTGATCATATTTAGTGGGTTAAGTTCATCTTCGTTTGTGATGGCATTCAGATTACTAAATAAGGAATACCCGCGAGCAAGGGTTGTGATGCGGAGTGTTCTGATACTAATACGGTGCAAGACGAGAAGAATTGGGAAGTCGCGTGGGGTTGGGGACGGTGTGATGGATGGCTACAGATTAGAGCGGGTTAAAGTAACTCCATAAGCCTGTGACCATGAAAATTATGTATAGACCGCTACAGCCATGAATCCCAGATAAGCTGTATATTTCTTATATCATAGGAATTTTGAAACTTGAGTGAAACAAGCATGAATTGTGGTTGCGAATTGCGGAAGAAAAGAGAAATCTCTCCGCGGAAACAAAGATAAAGTGGGGGCACGACAGGAAGAAAAGAAGACACAGTCCCCCCATAAAGCGTTTACGGCTCCCACCACTGGAGTTCCTTTTTTTTTTTTTTAAATTGTGAAAGATGATAATATATTTTATTTTAAACTGGACACGGATTGCGCATGAAGAATGTTGAAACGTATCCTGTCTTTTTTCCGTACGGTGAATGAATTGTATTGGCGTGTTGGGGGCTGATTCCAGAATAATATTCAAATTATTTTCCTCGTGAAAATCAAATAATTATATCATAACGATATCGATTTAGTACTAAATACCTAGAAAAAATGTGACTACTATTTAAATCAGAATTTGCCACTGAAGCATGACTTGTATACGTAAAAGACGTGTAAAGGAAAGATTGGGCGTCTTTGACAATCTATTTTAAAAATAATTTTTTATTCTGTACAATAAAAAAATAAAAAAATTTATTTGATAATGTATTTTAAAATATATCTTAAAGAATAAAAAAATATTATTTTAAAAAATAAAAAAATAAAAATAATTTTCAGATGTTTTGAGATTATTATTTTAAAAAATAACGAAGAATGAAAAAAACATCTATTTTTATTATTCTCAAAATATGTTTTATAAAATATCAATTATTAAGATAATAAAATAAAAATAATTTTAAACAGCATCTTAATCTTGTTCTTACAGTTTCATGTTATTCTTATGCAAGTCCTTGAAGTTTTTTACTTTTTTATTGGATTCTTAAAATTCTCTCAACTATAAACTTTAACCCTTTTAATCAAATTCCGTTAATTTCAATGTAACCGAATTAATAATTGCTGAGTTGGCTACATGGATAAAAATTGAAGCCTAAAATTAAAAAAAAAAAAACGAATGGATCGGACTTTAGTCTTCGATCTCCGATGAGTTTTTGGTGGGGTGGAGCTTGTGGAGGTGGCGGCGGTGCTGCAAAGACAGCTGCTAATAAAGACTTCGATGGTGATTGAAACAAATTAAAGCTTCCTGTTTCGGTGAATTGGGCAGAGAGATCTGCACGTGGTCCTAATGTGAAGGGGTTGATACCTTTGACTGAGAGAGACTCTTAGAGTTTGTAAAGGCTTTTCAAATGGAATGGAATGCTGCTGCTACAAAATCTATTTTCAATACACGAAGCTTTCTGGAGTGAGAAGATCAATTTTTTGTTAAACTTCTGGGATTTTAATCAATAAACCCAGTGAATGGGGTGTAGTGGGGCCTCTCTGGACAAAGAACTCGCATCTTTGCCAGTTGGCAGTGAAGACGGTGCTCCGTGGCAGTGCGTTGAGCCTACTGTCTCCAGATTTCATCGTTGACAGCGGCGGCGATAGAGGTTCAGTTCAAGCAAAGATGAGAGTTTTGATGAGAGATTTTTTTGGTTAAGCTTCTGGGATTTTAATACTCCTCCACCCATTCTGTATTTTACAAGACATTTGCGCAGCACTCAAGGATTGTCTATAGCTACAAATCTCGAAGAACAATACCCAAGGATTGAAACTGCGCAATCGAAGGATGGATGGGTTAGACTGAATTGCTCTTCATGAAAAATAGGAAATATATAGGTGGTTTTCTGTCTGCCTTTATTTCTTTTCAATGTGGCAATTTTAATCCACAGGTACACTGACTTAGGGCATAATAATCATTCACGGCCACCTCAGCAGCCATTACACTAAAAAAGTTAACAGAGTTTTATTATAGGGATTAACACCTACAACGAGAAAATTATAAAGACTCTGTAAAATGATAAAAAAAAAAAAAACCTTTAACGACCTGATTAAAAATTACGTGAAACTATAAGGGTTGGGAAATTAATTGTCCCTCAATATTTTAGTTATCATTTTTTAATTAAGTTATCAATAAATTTTATAAAACTTCTTAAGTTAAATGTATCGAGTGGGAGTAATTCTGCTTATAAAATTTTACCAACTTATCTGCCTTGCTCGTCCTTCTCTTTCATGTCCTCGGTCACACGAGCCAAACAAACCCATCAATATACAAGTTTAAAAGAAACAAGATAAATTGAAAAAGAAAGAAAGAAGGATCGTAGAAACGTCTATACTGGGTGGATGTAATCGCTTGAAAAACCGTGACCCAATTTAATTTTAATCAGTATCTCTAGATTTTTGAAATTTCATTGTGACCAAATTATTTTATTGAAATTTTAGAACTTTTAAAATTTTAACTGAAATTAAATTAAATTAAAAGTCCTCGCTAAATTTTTTTCATGATTAAAAGTGAATAGGTGATTCAATAATTTCTCGTGTTAGGTAACCCTCCGCCTTTCGCTACCTAAACCACAATCACTTCCAAAAAGATTGTTTTTTAGCAAATAATGCCAAACAAAAATAGAGAGAGAAAATAATAATTAGAGATCTTATAAAGATATTAATAATAATTACAAACCTCATATTAAAATTTTAATAACAAATCATGATTCTTATTTGTAATAAATCATCTTTTATTAATTAGTTTGAATAATGATTTTTGTAAATTTACAATTAAGGCTACAAAAAATTTTAAGTTTTTTTATTATTGATTTCTTAAGTGGTAATAAAAATTTACAAGTGATTGGCATACAATTTAAAATTAATTCTTGTAAATTTTTAATTAACATTATAAATAATCACAATTAATTTATCTATATATTAAAAGTAAAAAATATAAATAATTAACTTGTGATTTATAATTGACTCTCGTAAATTCTTAACAAACATTATGAAAAGTTTTAAATATATTTTCTTAATTTTTCAAGTAGCTTATATGTATATTGATATTTATAATTAACTCTCGTAAATTCTCAACTGATATTATAAATAATTTTAAATATATTTTATTAATTTCTCAATTAATTATTTATATCTTTAATCAAAAGTAAAGATTACTTCTAAAATCAAGAATTTGTAATTATTGTTATTATTAATATTAATATCTTTACAGTACCTGATTGACATTTTTCTAAAGAAATTAAACCAACTGTTTTACTTGTTCTCGCTTTCATCGTTCTCACTTCCCGGCGAAACAAACTTGTGGCACTTGAATCCTCCGGGGCAAGACGCGCAGGTTCAGCGCCCCTGTGCGTCGTCGTTTTTCGGACGCTTTTAGCCTTTTATTTATCTCGTAGTCGTGCATGAAATAGAGCGTTCATGTGGCGCCACGTCAATTGCGAAGCTCAAGCTTCATCTCAACTGTCCGTTTCGGCGCAACCCTGCCCTGGAAGCGGCTTCTTCCGCTTCATTCTGTTCCTTGGAACGGCTCAACTCAACTTCATCGCTGAATCCATTTTGAAAGAGCCGGACAGTAAAAGAGCGAGAGCGAGACACTATCCGGGATCTTTTGTGAGTGGAGGGAGAAGAGACGATTTAATATAAAATAAATGTTCAAAAATACTTATAAAATAATTAATCAGATGGTACCCAGTATCTTAAAATAAAAAAAATAGTATAAATACCTATAATGTTACATTAGTGGATATAAAAGTGATCAAATCATTAACTTTAATTTAACGCCATTAATTTTAATTATTAACTGTTGATCATGCATATCATATGTTAATATTTGCCAATATTGACTAATGAAGGGGTAAAAATATTCATGAAGTCATCAATCAACAGTAAAAATACTCATAATGTTATCAGAGTTAGTATAAAAGTAACAAATTCATCAAATTCCTTAAATGTTAATTATTTAGTTGACACCTAAGTAGATGATGACCATTTTTTTTGTTGATATAAAAAAAATATTCCTAAACAAATTTTTACAAAGGTTGATTGATTGTTTATGATATCAAAATTTATGTCACATAATTTCTTTTTATCGCCACGTATCTTGCTTTCGTCCTTTCTTTCTCTTCACTTATTTTTCTTGTTTGCAAAATCATGTGAAAATATTTTTGTCCATATCAGCAAAAAAAATAATCAATTTTTGTTTAATTGTTAACCAAATGATTAATATTTAAAAGATTTAATAAATTAATCACTTTTACATTAACTTTAATAATATTATAAATATTTTTACTCTTAACTTATAATTTCATGAGCAGGACAAGTGGGGGGCAAGAGGGGTGCTCCCCCTACCCCCAATAATTCTAATGCTTTTATATTTTTTTTATTTTTTAAATATTTTCTTTGTAAAAAATGTAGCAATGAGTTTTTGCCCACCCCATATTTTTTTGTGGTTTTAAATTTTGCCTCTCATATTGGCAAGTTTGAATTCATTATTATTTATGAATATTTTTACATTTTTGTTATTTTATATTAACAAAAGCTGACACGTGATATGTACAATCAGTATTTAATAATTAAAATTAATAGTTTAATTACTTTTATATTTACTCATATAATATTATAAGTATTTATTTCTTTTTTTAATTTTAAAATATTGAGTGTTTTTAATTGATACTTTTGTGATATTTTTGCTTATTTACCTTTTAATATAAGGAGCGTTTGTTTGGGGAGACATTTCTTTCGGAAGCATCCAACTAGCCAAGGGTGGGGCCTACCGACCGGTGAGACGTTACGCGTCCCCGAGTCGTGACTCGCGAACTCCCGACGACCTGCGTAACTCGGAAACCCGCGAATTTCAACCGCCCGCCGATGCTAGCCACGTCGCTCCAATTTTTAATTCTCTCCGACCATTTTGTTGTCTATTTCTAATTTCATTTTTTATTTTTTAATCGGAACGAAGGAAAAATCGACTGGGTATTAGTTCCCTGGTTTAGTGCAGGATGTGTCCGTGATTTATCTGTATCCCACCTAAAACGCGAGTTTGAAAATATCTCTTCTTTCCCGTATTCTTTCCTCCTCTGTCTAATCCTCTCACACAGCTTCCTTCTACATTCTTGCTTCTCAATCGCAGGTGTTCTTTTATTTCCTTATTCTTTTGTCTCGTGTTTTTTCCTGTCGCCACTGTTGCTGTCTGGTTCTTTTGATTCCTCGATGTTCTTGATTTGATCGATGTCCATGTTACCTTTCTTTCTCTTGATCTTCATCGTTTTAGAATTGGATTGCTGTGAATCGTTATATTGAAATCCTGCCATTTGGCTTTGTTTTTCTAGGGGTTGGGCAGAAAGCTCCTTGCTTGGTAATCAATTGCTTAGATCTGATTTTTTATTCTTCGAGTAAAGCATCCATTTTTGTAATCCCGCCTCTGATCAATCGAAAAGGCTGTTAACTTTTGAGCTATAACTCTCTTTCAATATGAGCCTGAAATTTATTTGCTCCAAACCTGTAAGTCAACCATCATATAGACTTGGAATTCCGTTTATGTCAACTGCAGATTTATTGATGAAATGAGTCGTTGCAGTGCAGTGCACGCGTTATTGTCATATTAGGTTCTGACCTGTCATGGTGTTATTTACTTTGAATATCTGCAGGTACGAAAGGTTTGGTAACCTTAGAAGGTTGAGTTCTCTTTAATTTCACCATAAAGAAGTGCTGTTTTTTTTTTTCCCTGGTGCTATCTGACCTGTATGATTGACACTGTCACAATTGGTGCATCATCATCATGATATTGCAATTTTTTTTTTCCAAAGTACTCTTCTGGATAAATATTCTTATAAATGTAAATTAATAAACAGTCTGTGTTGTTTTCTTATGTGGTGTTGCATGAAGACTTCATGTTAAAACTCCCCGGGTGGAAAAACCCAAGATTGTGGACAGTTCTAATGGATAAAGGCCTTTCAATCGTTTCAGGTTTATTAACCCTGGATCATTGTAAGATTGGCTTTTGCTTGAAAGATTTTGGTTGTTTCGTTCCCAAGATATGATGAATGGAACTCAGTATATTGGTGAAAGTTCGAGTTCAACTTCTCTTAGCAGTCAACATGATATTGAGGATGATCGCATGATTGCTGTTGTGTTATCTGAAGAGTATGCCAAATTAGATGGCGCAGTTGGTAGGCGCCTTTCCAACTTGGCACCTGTTCCTGTAAGAATTCTCACGACTGTCATTGCCCAAACTATCTAACAATGCCTTTTACTTTAATTTTCGCACCCATTTTGGTCATACTATATTCGTGCTTAATTTAGGTTCCAGTTTTAGTCTTCTCTTTGCAAATCACTCAAATGACGGTTAAGTAAAGTATGGTGTTAATATCTTATCACTTAAATACGAAGGACAAAAAAAAAAAATATCACTAAAATTCAACAGATGAGAAGGGATAGATTTAATTCTTTTAGAGGATCATGCTAAGTCAGCATTCTCGATATTTTCTGTTATTATCTTGCTGCTTTTGCCCCCTTTGGACTCTGTTGGGGTGTTGTTCTTAATGACTTTGTTATGGTATTCTGCCCACTTTCATCTCATAGAAAAGTGAACTTTCTTTATAGTTGTCAACTAATGACTAGGAGGAGAGATTATTCACCTTTTTTAGAAGGCAGTAGGCGAGAAAGTGCCTGAATTTTTGTGCTTTACTAATTTCCTTAACTCGAAATTTCAGCATGTGCCCCGGATTAATTCCTTCATACCTGACACAAATGATGCAAGTATGGATCACCAACGCCTTCTTCAGAGGTATGCTGCCTTGCAGCTGTGTATTTCAGCCATTTCTTGACAGGAATATTCAAAGTTCTGGTGAAAGATAGCTGTAATAGTAATGAGCTAGTGTTCATCATGCATAATTAATAACATCACTGGTCAAGCAAGGATTGTGTTTTCTTTTTGACAACCGAGAGAAGTTGGAGACCATATGCATACAAATTGGGCATTCAAATGAAGATTACTTAATCTAATGATGTATTGTCACAAATAATGAGGGATCAGCTCGTAAAATTTTATAAACCCTTTACTGCTATACACTTACTGGCTTGGAGGTATTAAACATGTCTCTCTTGACTTTTATAGGTTGAACATGTATGGTCTATGTGAAGTCAAAGTTTCTGGAGATGGGAATTGTCAGGTATTATTTGTGGCAACGATTTTCTAAAATTATCTGCTTAGGAACATTTATTAACTGTTCTCGCTATCTTGCAGTTCCGTGCACTTTCAGAACAGTTGTATAGGTCGCCTGAATACCATAAGAATGTTCGGAAAGAGATTGTGAAACAGGTAAGTCCACTCAGAAAGTTCCAGCCAAATGCATATTGCTAGCTACGAGGACATCTGGTTTTCGTGGGTTTTGATTGTTTAACTAAAGTAAAAGTTGAAATTTCTGATGCACAAATGAATGAGTTTTAAATTAATGGTTGCATTCTCCAGGGGGGCCATAATTTGAGTTTGATTCTTTTAAATGTCCAATATATGTTTAATATGTTTGAAAAGGATACTTGCATTAACTGAACATATAAGAGAGGGAAATAAAAGAGATAACATACATTGATAAACCAAAATACAAATTGTTTGTGGTGGATAAGCATGGAATTTAATAGTTCGATTAAAATTATATATAGACAATTTGAAATGCTTATTTGCCCAAAATTTCTCTTTGCCAGCTCAAAGACCATCGCTCCTTGTATGAATGCTATGTCCCGATGAAATACAAACGATATTACAAGAAAATGGCGAAGTATGTGTCTTTCAGGCAAATTTTTATTGCTACCGTTAACTATTCGTTGAGCCATTACCTTTATGGGTTCCTCAAATATTTTTTCTTTCACGTGCTGTTGTAAAACTTACTGCGTTCTCCATCTATCTTCCTCATGGCAGATCTGGAGAGTGGGGGGACCATGTTACCTTACAGGCAGCTGCTGATAAGGTGTGTTATGCTGTTTTCAAGTAGGCTCTTTCTTCTGTGTGATGGGGCGAATTTATTAGTATTTGTTTCTTTCTTTTTCATGCTATCTATACACTGCTGTTTTAACTGAGATGGAAATTAACTTCTTCTATGCGATGCGGCAAAATGATCAGTTTTTCAAAGTTGTTCATTGTGCTCTTGCAATCCATGTAGTGGGATAAAGGCTTGTGTTGTTGTTGTTGTTTTATTACTGATAGGTTAATGATTTTTAATAATTATAACGGTAATGATGATCATCACCACCAATCATCTGGGAAATGGTGATGACACACGCCTGTAGTGAATGTAACCATTGTTTTTGCACATTTGAAAGGGTTCTTCTACTTTATCATTTGCTGTCACTGATAGTGACTAAGTTGAATGATGAATTTGCTCTCTATACTTGGACAAGTATTTGTCGCCAAAGGTTTTGCGTTGTGTTCTCTTTGCTTAGATGGAGTCATCTAGTAGAACTTGATATCCTCTATCACACTAAATTATCTTTGTTGTGATCCAAGTGCCACCTCTGGAAATTGGTGGGGAGTATATACGTATATGCTGCTATAAAGAAATTGAATTTCAGCTATATTTTTTTGCTTTGTGTTACTGTTAGCTGTTAGAATGTAACATAACCTGGCTTGTTTGTAATTTAGTTTGCAGCGAAAATATGCCTTTTAACATCATTCAGAGACACTTGTTTCATCGAAATTACACCGCAGCACGAAGCACCAAAGCGCGGTAAGACTCTCGTTACTCATCGCCATGGTCAAAACACTTGTTCAGTTAACCATGAATCGATGCATCTGGTGAAAAATGCGTGTCTCATAAAATCAATAATCTTGCAAAAGGATTTTTGCTTGCTCTTAAGTAGTGATCCAGATCTTACAGATCTTTAATTATGAAAAAAGTATGTTAATGCGCGCATTCTATTATTCATTTGTTAATGATGCAGAGTTGTGGTTGAGCTTCTGGTCTGAGGTTCATTACAATTCACTATACGAAATTCAAGGTTGGTTCGCCCTAAATTCCCAAAAGTGGCTTTTTTGGTTGGAGTTTTGAACACTTTATGAGATGATTATTTGTTTTATCATCTTCATTGTAGATGCACCAATCCAGCATAAACCAAGGCGGAAGCACTGGCTGTTCTAGGAGAGTTAGGTTCGTTACATTGATGAAAGCATTAAGGTCATGTGTAGGAGTGAAAAATTATCTTGGTCCTTGGAAGATAAAAGCTTTTTACAGTTTAGCCCTTTAATTTTTGGATTCAGCAATTGAGTCCTTCATGGTCTTAATATTTACTGCAATTTTATTCTTCATTGCACGTCTACAGTGCTGGGTTCAAAGCATTCCGTAATTCAATTGAGAAAACTGTAGGTGGTGTGAGGAAATTGAGAAATGTTATGCTATCTTTCAAGGATCAGAAGATAATTTACTCAATTGAGATGTAGTTCCGTGTATATTTTCTGTTCTGTATATTAGAGGAGAGAGTGGAGGAGGAAGAGAAGTGGACGAGAGAGGGAGAGATTATGGGTCTTCTCTTTGTTCTTCTTTTTTTTTCCCCCAATTTTCATTCATTCATTGATTTATTTCAGTTATACAGTATTTTAATTTTTATCTCCTGGCGTCGGCAGTACAGTATTAACACAGGAGATTTCTTAGTGAAAAGTAAATACGGTCACAGTTGTGCTTTTTGCTTGTAATTTATGCTCAGAATTCTTTTATAAAAAATACTAATCTTTAGAAAAAAATTCACTGTGAACACTAACATAAATTACAGATATTATTGCATAGTTTATATTTATTGAAGATGTGAATAATGGTATATTAAATTAAATAGAAAATTATGAACATCTGACACATCTCCGAGTAGTAGCAAAAGATATCATCTTCCATGACTAGGCAATGCTAACTTTTAAAGAGGCCAAGAGAAAAAAAAGCAAGGGCCAGGTCGATGTTTTTGTCCTCCCTCTATCTTAAATTATAAAATATTTTTAAATAAAATTTTATATAATAATAAATCTTATTAAATAAATTTAAAAATATTGTATTTTTAAAATAAAAATATAAACTTTCAATAATGTTTATCATTTAATATATTAAAAAAAGAAAGGATAAAAATTAATTATAAAAAGTGAAAGAGTAATATTAGAATAAAATTATTTAATAAAATTTTAATCTTCTCAAAGTATCTTATATTTTAAGACACAATCTTTCTTAAAAATATTTTATAATTTAGGACGGGGGAGTATATTTTAGGTGGAGGAGAATGAACATATTTTTAAAAAATTAAATTAATATTAGTTAGATTTTTTATAAAATTTAAAAAAATAAAATGCAAATATCAATCCTAATAGTTACAAAAATTAAATGTTTTCTCAATAATCAAAAATTTTAATATATAATTATTTAAATTGATATTTTTAATTTAAATAATATTATCAAAAAATGAATTAATTTAATCTTTCATTCTTTTAGAATACAAAAATCATATTCATCTTCATGTTTCTCCTTTTCGTCACATCGATCAGAAACTTACCAAAATTAAACCCAGCGAAAATCCAAACATAGTAAAAATATAATCGAAGAGATCATAAATTGATCGAAAAATCACAAATCCAATAAAAACATATCTAACAGTCATGTAATTAGTATATGCAAATAAAAACGAAAAATGGTGATCGTTGCTAACCAGTGAAACAGATCTAGAGACCAATCAGAGAGTTCCGGCTGCTGCTTGAAGGTGGAAAAGCAGCCAACATGAACACTTGTCCTCTGAACACGAACGCAGAAGAACAAGACGATGGAAATTGGGGTTCCCGGGGAGCATATTTTATGTGCACCAAACGTGAAAATCTGCACATTCCCTTTCCCTCTCCCTTCCCATAGACCAAATTCAATTCCTTGCCACCGAACAAGCTTAAAGAGTTTGAAAGTCCTTGAAATGGAAGTCTAATAAGCATGGATTATGGTTGGGGGCAGAAACGAATGAGGGAAATTTTGAGATGAAATAAGAAATAAATTTAGAAGTGCGATGACATCGACAACAATGCCTTCACTTTATCTTTAATCACCTGATCAGGATTTCTTTTCTGTTCAATAGAACTTTTCTCATTTTCTACCTTCGTTGAAATAACCACGGTGTATTAGTAGTGTACTGTGTGAATGTGGTGGTGCCTTGAAACTAGAAAGGAACATTAAATGTTGCATTGGACACATATCGTACCAAACTCAATTATTGTTGTAAAATTACACGTAGGGTTGAGCCTATTGGTTAAAGGTTTGCATCCTTCGTTAATCATGGCCAGCTAATCCCCAATTCATGTTCAGTTTTCAAGTTTTCGAACCACTTGCGCCCCGCTCCCACCCATTAATATTGTCATCATATCCGTTTCTCCAAAACTTCGACGTAACATAAAGTTATCTCCATCCTTAATTTATTATTAATTTTATTAAAACTTGGCCAATCACGGTGGGCTTCTCTTCTCCCTGGTGGCACTCTTTTCTCTTTTGCCCTTCATTTTAATGCGTTCAAGTCTGCGTGTACAGTAACGCTGTTAGGGCTGCCAGAATATATATATATATATATATATATAAGTCTTTTTCAATTATTGGACCTGTAAGTTGGGAAAATTTTGGAGTTCTGGTAGTCAGTTTCGTCAGAAATTAAGAGGAAAGCAATCATCTTACGTAAGTGATATGCAGTTGCAATACAGCGCACGTTGTCCTTGTCTCCATTCCCAGCATTTTGGTCAAAACCTTTCATCCTTTATTTAAGGGTTCTTAAGAAAAAGTTACGTTGATATTGACAATATTTAAGACAAACAACGTGTTTGGATATATTAGAGTTTGAGTTACATTGATAAGTTGTATAATTATACGATCCTCAATCATCATCGGGCGATTAATTTGACTCCTTGGTTCGTACCAAAAGGTTAGGAGTGAGCATCGGTCGGTTCGGTTTTAAAATATGCAGAATCGATTGATCGAATAATACTGAAAATGAAAACCGAATCGAATCGAACAAGTCAATCGAACCGAACAAAAACCGAAGCGAAATTTGATAATTCGGTTCGGTCGGTTAATTTAATTTTTCGGTTTCATATTGGGCTATTGAAATTGGGCCCATTTTTTAAATATTAAAACAAACAACACTATAAAATTGATTTTTTTTGTCTATTCATTTTTTTTTCAATATGAGCCCATTCTAAGTACATCTATATGATGTAAAGCTCAAATATTATAAAAGTATGGATAATCAAATAAACACCGATGATCAAATAATGGCTCCATAATCCAGTCACAACACCTATCGATGAGAGTGACTGACTGAAATAGGGTTTCAAGTGATATTATTATTTTTTATTCTTTATTAAAATAAAATAATTTATAAATTAATAAATTATATGTAATTCAGTCGGTTCGATCTATTCGATTTTAAATTTTACTAACCAAATCGATCAACCGAAATATTTAAAATAAAAAAACCGAATCGAACCGAAAAATCAAATAAACCGAACCAAATAGACAAAATTTAATTCAACTCAGTTCGATTTTTAATTTCAATTCGGTTTTGCTCGCTCCTACAGGAGGCCATTCACATACATAATAGTATCTCAATCCCACTCATTTAAATTTTAATGCTGCTTATCTTCAAATCAAGTCACACCACCTTCCACATGCCATGTTTCTGTTTTTTCTTTACCATAATAAAATAAGCCCAGTTTTTAATACATACATTATATCAATTAGAGATTTACGGGTTGGTGTGGTTATGATGAGAAGCTCGTAATATACATTGAAGAAATCAGGAATAGATATCATTCGGTTATACTGCATGCAAACTATATATAGAAAACCCAAAAATATTGGACGCGTGTAAGCTATGTGATGATAATGGAAGAATAATTAAGCATGTAGCGTGATATATAATGGATTAATTGGAGGGGGAGATTAAGGCATGGGAGGGGATTAATTATTGCAAATAGTAGATGCTAGGTGGGAAAATACTAATAGTGGGTGGTTGGTCAACCTAACTGACCAAAAACCGCCCATGGGATGCTGTGCCTTTAACCATAGACACTTGGTCCCATCTTTATTATGATTAGATGAATTTAAATTCAGCTTGTTATTTTTTTTCCTATAATTATATTTTTCAATTAAATTGAATTAGAATGCACGCGTTTATACTCATCAATAAAAAATGAGTATCTAAAAACTTACATATTGTTATACTATTCTTACTTTTTAATTGAAACTTTTTTAATGATAGAATGATATCTTTCTGCCACATTAACCTGCCATGTTCTCGCTTCCCCAGATGGTTACACTAATATTTGGGAAGGATAATGTCTAGATTCACTGTGTTGTAAAGTGAATCAGATTCAAAACAAAATTAGGAAAGGTTAGTTTTGATTTTTTTTTTCTTTTTTTTTAGGATGCTAGATATAATATAATCGGCACACATATAATTTACTATATACAGGGCATGTTTGTTTTCTGTTTTTAAAAACTATTTTTTTAAGACATAAAAAATTTAAAATGTTTTGATAAGTGTTTTTTATTTAGTTGTTTTCAAAATTGCTTTCATTTTTTATTTTTAAAAACAAGAAAATGCAAACAACTTTAAGTTATTTTTGTTTTTATTTTGTTATTTTTAAAATACACTACATTTGATTATTATAAGTTATAGTTATCTTGACTAATTTTATTATTAACCACCCTCACTAACTACTTATAATCATCACTATCAATTTATTTTTAAATTTTAAAACTGTTTTTGATTGGCATAACCAAACAGATTTTTATCTTATTTTGTCTTAAAAATAATTTTAAAAACTGTATTACAAAACAGTTTTTAAAAATAAAAAATAAGAATAAAAACTAAACGTGCATTAATACTGGTTAGCATGTTCATTTGTGAAGAGAGAGTACACCACCCTGTATTCCTAGTGTTGTTAAAGTTAATGATTCATATAGCTTTAAAGATGCACTTTTTTCATTGTCAAGACTTTGGTATTAAGAGAACAAAATAATATGGTACACTATTTATAGCCAATCTCATCTAAAAAAAAATCTACCTGGCACTAACAAAGTACATAACTATCCCTTTATGAACTTGATGAAGCAAATGATGCTTGTTGGTTAAACAAACAGATATCAAAGATAATTCATAAGAAATAAATCTTCTCAATATGAGAACATGTGGATTTTATAAAGTTTCTCATTTTAAAAAAGAGAAAGAGTATTTTTTATTTTATAAAAAATGAAATGAGTGAAAATATTAGAAAAAAGTTTACATAAATTTATGAATCTCAACTTTAGAAAATTCAAGTCCTAATTTATGAATAATTATCATAATTATAATTTTTTCTATAGAAGACATATATTTTTGCCAAATCTGGATTTGATAGCCGGATGACAAATTCACTGCTACCGAATCTCACCTCCACACAGAATTTTAGACTGAATAAAATATTGATTTGTTATCCAAAAAAAAAAAACAGGGTATGAAATTTCAGCGCTGCGAGAAGCAGAGAAAATTACCTATGGGATATTTACCACTCATGAATTTGATTTTTCACGAACTATTTTTTCGGTGATCGCTTGTTTACATATTTTTATTATATGTGTTATTATTAATTGTTGCATTGATCATCTTATCCATCATGCTCATTACTCATTAGCAATTCTTGAGAAATTTTTTTTTACTCTATTTAATGTAAAGTTCAAGAAAAATAATATTTTGTTAGGCTTGAATGTAGTCCTTTTAATGATGCTCATCTTTCAGGCACGATGGGATGATAACACGTTTTCAGTATTCAAAGGGAAAAATACATGACGGCAGCACAAGATTTCGTAACCATAATTAGACTGCGGCATGAATCCAAAACAGTGAAACACAGTCATTAATGTAAAACGAATCGTACGATGTTCAAGCGCGTTTAAGTTCTCATGATGTAAATAAAGAACCTTTTTTATGGTAATCATTATTGTAAAACCAACCACAAGATAGGGAAAACGGTCTTAACGTTTTGGAGAAACTTCAAAGTTCCAATGATGTTAATGAAAAGCCTTCGTTATATAAAAAAATATTAAAACAAAAAACTCAAGCTTTTCCTTTTACGTTTGTATGCCTCACAACTCACAATTCATTGAATAGTCGAGCAGGACAAGACGTTAGTGAATTCCTATATTTAAAGTGAAAAGAAAGAGAGATGATATGTAAAAAAAGTAGACACATTACAAAATATGCTTAGGACTTGTTTAGTGTCCTTTTACAGGTGTTTTACATGTCTCTTCCTTGGAAGATCGGGTAACAATGGATGGGATCACAATCAAGCGGAAACCGCGTGGTGGCTTCACAAATGCAGATTCTCAGTCACTTCTGCCAAACAATTCAAAGGACTGGAACAAAAGTGAGCGAGGGAGAGAGAGAATGAAGGATGAAGGGCCCGATCCAGAACGGGACTGTCCTGCCTTTGCTGCTCTATATATACCCTCTAGGCTCTAGTCTTCTTCCCACAAGTACGCACCATTCATTCTTCTTCTCTACTTTCAAATTCACAATGCCTTCTCTTCTCTGGACTCTCTCTTTCGTTCTGGCTTCACTCTGCTCTGCCGCCCACGGCGCTATCCCTAGGAGGCCCGTTGATGTACCCTTCGGACGGAACTACTACCCTACCTGGGCTTTTGATCACATCAAGTACCTCAATGGAGGTTCCGAGGTTCAGCTCCATCTCGATAAGTACACTGGTACTTTTCTGCTCCCCTTCCCATCCCTCATTATTGCACTCTTTCTCCTACGAACCTGTTTCTCATTCATACCATTTTGAACAGGAACTGGCTTCCAGTCCAAAGGATCCTACTTGTTTGGTCACTTCAGCATGTATATCAAGATGGTTCCTGGGGATTCTGCCGGCACCGTTACTGCTTTCTATGTAAGAAACTGTTCCGGTTTCATTTTTTTTCCTGTTCTTTGTTCGGCACATGTTTGTGTGGCCTCTTAATGTGAATGGAACCGTGCAGTTATCTTCCCAGAACTCAGAGCACGATGAAATAGACTTCGAGTTCTTGGGAAACAGAACAGGGCAGCCATACATTCTGCAAACGAACGTGTTCACCGGAGGCAAGGGTGACAGAGAACAGAGAATCTACCTCTGGTTTGATCCTTCCAAAGAGTATCACAGATACTCTGTTCTGTGGAACCTGTATCAGATAGTGTGAGTACTTCACACTTCACATACCCTCCCCCAACCCCAACCCAGAAAAAAATCAACAGAAATACTGAATAACGGAGATCAAAATGTGGACGCAGGTTTTTCGTAGATGATGTGCCGATCAGGGTGTTCAAGAACAGCCACGACTTGCGAGTGAAATACCCATTTAACCAACCCATGAAGATATACAACAGCCTGTGGAATGCGGACGACTGGGCCACGAGGGGTGGGTTGGAGAAGACGGACTGGTCCAAAGCACCGTTCATAGCCACCTACAAGGGCTTCCACATCGACGGGTGCGAGGCCTCCGTGGAGGCCAAGTTCTGTGCCTCCCAGGGCAAGCGATGGTGGGATCAGGCCGAGTTCCGCGACCTCGACGCCGCTCAGTGGCAACGACTCAGGTGGGTTCGCAGCAAATACACCATTTACAACTACTGCACCGACCGCAAGCGCTACCCACAAGTCCCTCCCGAATGCGCCAGAGACCGCGACATGTAAACTCAAACCCTATCATCTACAAGTATTACATTCTAATTTACAGCCACTGCGAGTCCTGATGTGCCTCCTCTCCCGCCATCATTATCATTACTCTTATAAGTCTCATAAGGGACGGGTTCTCTCTTCCCATATTGGTCACTGGTGTATAAGTATTTATATTGCCAAGGTATATTTGCTGAGGGATCGGAGGTTGAGATCAGAGGAGCCTCTGGCTTCAGGGATCAACACTGAGCTCTGTCTCTGTATGTGTGTAACAGTGTAATGTAGCACTGCGACTGGTAAATTATTCTGAATCAATGTTGAATATTGAATATAGAAGTACTATATTTCACTTGGATGTACGTGTCCTGTATTTTTTTTAATAATAACCCGTACCCGAGCCCTAGTTGGGACGCACAGATAAGAATTCTGATAAAATAAATAAATCAATAAATGACAATGTGACCGACAGGGATTGTAAAGACGTTAAAAGTAGAAAGCGATGGTTTTGAAAACTGGGAGAAATTGAAAAAAAAAAAAAAAAGACAGTAAATATGGAAACCGTGCTCTCTCTCGGCACGACGAACGTGAGCTGTGTAGAAGTTGCGGAACATTAAACTTTTTGGGCCTAATTGTGAAAGGACGAGAATGGACGTGAGACAAGGGCGTAGGACTAGGAGACTTAGGTCGTCGTTATCACCATTAACATTGCCCTGGGGCATGTGGGGTAATGAGAGTGACGCAGAGCAAGTTAAGTGAATCGAATGACTCGTTTCCCTCTTTCAACTTTCCATCAAATTCAGTTTAATCTTTGAGCATTTCAAGGTAATGTTAATGAGTAGCAAAATATATATAAATATATATACACATATATAAAGTTCGACAAGAGTACGTTTGAAAAAAATAAATAGGCCATTAGGTTGTGGTTTGGGACCGCACGATTACGGGAGCTGGTGGCTAAGTAACGCTGATATGGTGGGTTTGATTTTGAAACAGAAACAGGTCAAGAACCATTGGTTCCGTTTCTGGTTTGAAATTTCACAAGAGCGAGATTGAACTTTTTATTTTTTGCGAGATTGAACTTTGATTTCTCATGAAAGCATGTGCATCCCCCCCTGTCAATTGCTTGGTTATATCATGGAGGTTGAGCCCATGTCACCATCTATATTTCAACTCAGCCTTACTATTTATGTTAGATTTCATCTAACTTCATTTTTTTTTTTAAGAAAAGTTAAGTAGATATATTTTTGAGCGTGTGGAGGAATATGGCGCACGTTGCACATTGCTATTTACCAACATTTGAATCCATAGTCTTGGCAAAAAAAAAAAAAAAACGAATCCATAGTTTACGCAGGTGCTCCTATCTTTTTGACTTACTACTTTGGTTCGGTAATAAAAAGGTAAGCATGGATGATAAAATATATAAGGGGAGTCAATAAACATGCGTGTTAAGTTTTAACTTTTAACGTTTTCCCTGGTTCAAGTGATATTTTCCATCTTGTCTATCGTTTATTATTGTCAATTCATCTTCTTATGTTTAAAATACTATGTGTTGTGAAACCCTTGTCTCAATCAAATTATGAATTATGTGAAAATTTTAAACCCATGGATTGTATTATGAAACGAATAATAAATAGAACAACGGTACATCCCATCTCTTTTGGGATGGAATGATTTGGTGTGTTTTTAATTTTAAAAAAAAAAAAGAACAGAGAGAGAGAATGGGAAAATGAATAATCTTCGTCTAAACCAAAAATGGGAGAATTAATATCGTACACTTACTCCCTTTTTTTTTTTTGGAGGTCAAAATATTGTACACTTGTTCGATTTCCTTTACCTTCAATGCCTTCAAACCAAACTCACGTTGAGTTTATTCTATGCTCACATGGGCTCTGAAGGCCTTTTGTTTCCTTCTCTTTTTGTTGGGGTGGGTTTTTCTTCTTTACTTTTTTTTTTAATTATCTCTTCACTGTAAATTTTAATCATTCAAATTAAATTTAAATTTTTAAATTTAATTTAACGGTTTAGATCTGTAATAATATCTCCTTTTCTCTGGTTGCACGGAGAAAATCCAAGTCTCTTTTTGTTGGATCATGGCATCGCCGCGAATGATAACCATCTTGAGGTAAGTTGGAGCGTAAATAGCAGGGTTTGCTTTATACATGTGTATGTGTGTGTGATTGCATGCATACATACATACATATATGATGAAATGGAATGGACACAGCAGAAAGCGTGACATCCAATCGTGGTATTGGTCGTTCTACTCGTAAATTTGAAGACTGCGCCATGAGAAGTCGAAAGAAAAAGAGGAGAAATGAGCTGATGACATATCCACTCTGCTTCAAAACATTTATCGTTTCAGAGCTATGCACGTGGATTGTGAATTAAGAAAAGTATTAGTCAGCGTAAAACTCTGATTCTGAATGGGAGCAAATTCTAATGTTATTTTGAAACAGATGTGGCATTCGAATGCACCTATGCTGAATGAGAAGCTTTACACAGGAATAACTTATTTATCCCTCAATGGGCTGCCTATTTTTCTTCCTCCACACATCTAGCTTATCACAACCCTTTCTTCTAGAAAGGAAAATATCCATGACAACAAGTACAAAGAAAAACCATTTCAAAAAATTAAGTGAGAGAATTCTTTATGATTTATAATAAACCTAACCTAGCTTATGAGACTTTTTAATATGAAACTCATTTTAAAAAACTCTCACACATCAAACATAGCGCACACGCACACATACAAAATATACTTAGAGGAAAAATTAAAAAAAGAAGAAGAAAAGAAGTGGAGACACTAAAAGAAAAGAGAAAAAAAAAATTCACTATTTTTGAGAGTTTTTCCCCCCTAATTTTTCTTCCGCTAAAAGAAGGGCAGGGGATAGAACTTGCAACACTATCTTTTAAGAGAATGCATGATGTGTTGTGACGCTAGACGACCAACACCGGAGGGCGGAGGCTGTTAGGTGAACAGGGGATGTGGCCATGTTTGCATCTCTTGTTTTTCTGTGCTTCCTGGGAGCTCATGCTGCCATCTTCTCTGTTTCTCTGCATTTAATGAGTTTATGATGTGTGAATGTAGTGACTTCTACAGCAATTCGATGCCTGCACTTTTCATTCATGTAAATGAATCTGACTTCATACATTATAATTTCGCTCCTACTGTATACTCCATCACAAAACCAATCTTTTGTCGTCTCCCCTATTCATCAGACCGCCAGTATTTTAGTCAACTCCAAACCCCAATTCCTCTCTTTATGTCGCAAGTGCCACAAAAAATCCCCTTCCGTGTTTCATAGTAACTTGATCAGTGTCATTTTCATATTATCATAGGATGTTAAATGTTTTGTTTTCTGTTTTGTCCCTTATTAATGCACTCATTAGCAATCAAGTAGTATTTATTTAAAGAATGTCAGGGCATTTGAAGAACAGAAAATGATAATAAAATTTTTTTAAATTATTAAATGATAATTTAATCTCTTGAAATGTTATTAATTTAATAAAATTCTTATAGACCTTTTTGTTAATCACTTTTTTAGTAAAAAAATTATTTTACCCTTACTAAATATTACAAACCTCAATCACAACTTTTATTGAAAGAATCACAACTTTTGTTATGTAAATTAAAAAATTAAATAAAAAATCATAACTTATTAAATGTAACTTTTGTTATTAAAAAACAAGCCCCATTTGCAACTTTCGCTTGAAAAGAGTAATAAATTTTGTTATATGAATCGTAAAAGCTAAATAAAAATTTAATTTGTCAAGTGTAATTTTTATTATTGAAAAATGAGTTTTCAAAATAACAAACTCCATTCACAACTTTTATTTAAATAATTATAAAAATTAAATAAAAAATTACAATTTATCAATAAAAGTAAAATAATTTTTTTAATTTGAAATTTATTGATAAAGAGATCCCTAAAAACTTTAGTATAATTATGACATTTTGAGAGATTAAATTATCATTTATATAATTTAAAAAAATTTTATCATATTTTTCTTTTCAAAAAAAGATTATTTAATGTGGTCAATGTAAAAAATGTAAACATCAGGTTTCAACTTTCAACCATTAATTTCAACCCACATCTGTCTCGCACTCAGGACTTGAATTAAAATGCCCTATTCTCATATATCAGTTAAGAATTTTTAATGTCATTTACTTGTAAATAGTACATATTTTGATGTTATTCTGAAGATGACACCCACAAAAAGTAAACCCAACTGGCCAGCTTATAAGTTCGTTTCTTCTCTTTGCTAGTGCCCTGCCTTTTCCTGACGCGCCAGTTTCATTTCATTTTTCCTTTTGTACCAACATATCACGTTATGAAGACCAATCGTTTTGACCATCTCAGACGAACTTGCATGAACTGGATTCGGTTTCAAGGCGATCGATGATAAACCCCGGTCTCGAATTCAAGCTTTTGACAAAACATGGCCAATGTCAGATTGCTACACCAGGTTAATTACTGAGAGAAATCGTAATGTGGGTCACTTGCACTCAGGAAATAGGGGATCGGTTCGGTTGAGTACATTTCCATGCCATTGTTTAGGTCCAAGCAAGAAAGGCTCCTATACAGTCCTGGCATGGGATGAACCAGAATTCAACGCGAGAAGAATTTTATTACAGAATGAGAAGGCGAGAGAAAATTGAGGGTTCTATTTCTGGGTACAGGTTTGAGTAAGAAAATTGAAAAAGAAGAAGAAGCAAGAAATGTTGTAAATCATACAAAAATAGAAACGGCCCAAGTCCGTGGACGATTGAGAAATGGTGGGGGAGGAGAGGCTCACTTCCATTTGTTGGCAACAATGTCAGCCAAATCCACAACCCTTTGGGAGTAACCCCATTCATTGTCATACCAGGCAATCACCTTCACCATGTCATCTCCCATCACCATCGTCAACGAAGAGTCCACGGTGGACGACACGTCGGTGCACCTAAAGTCCACCGACACGAGCGGTTCATCGCACACTGACAAAATCCCTTTCAGCTCCTTGTCTGCGCTCTCCCTGAAAGCAGCGTTCACTTCCTCTGCAAAAGTCTTCTTCGAAACCTGAACCACCAGGTCCACCACTGACACATTCGGCGTCGGCACACGCAGCGCAATCCCGTTCAGCTTCCCTTTTAGACTCGGCAGAACAAGGGCCACCGCCTTGGCCGCTCCAGTTGAAGTCGGCACAATGTTCAACGCGGCGGCTCTGGCTCGCCTCAGGTCACGATGGCTGGCGTCCAGCAGCCTCTGGTCTCCGGTGTAGGAGTGAGTTGTAGTCATGGTACCCTTGATGATACCTGCGAAACAGGAAGACAAGGGGTTGATGATGATGGAATCCTCAAGGCAACGGAGTTGTGAAGTAGGAGGCAGAAGTAGTGAGCATTACCGAATTTCTGATCGAGAACCTTGACGAAGGGGGCGAGGCAGTTGGTGGTGCAAGAAGCGTTGCTGATGATGGGCTCGTCGGGACTGTAAGCGTCTTCGTTGACGCCAACGACGTAGGTAGGAATGTCACCTTTGCCTGGTGCTGTAATGAGCACCTTCTTGGCTCCTGCCTGAATGTGCCTCCCGGCTCCTTCTCTGTCCACGAACACCCCTGTTCCTTCTATCACCAAGTCAATCCCCAGTTCCCTGCATCATGCATGAGAGGTTATTATATGATCGAGGGAGGTGATGGAGAGAGAGGTGGATGCATGTGATTATTACTTCCAGGGGAGGTTGACGGGGTTGCGGTCGGAGACGACCTGGATGATCTTTCCGTCCACTGAGATGGCCCTGTCGCCGGCGGGCTTGACGTCGGCCTCGAAGATTCCGAGGGTGGAGTCGTACTTGAGGAGGTGAGAGGCCTGCTTGACACCTCCGGTGTCGTTGATGGCGATGACGTCAAGAGGAGAGTCCTTTCGACCGTGCCAGCATCTCAAGAAGTTCCTTCCGATCCTACCAAACCCGTTAATGGCTACCTTTAGTTTTGCTTCCGCCACTCCTTTCCTGTACCCTCCGCTGCTTTTAACCTTCACACATCACATTTCTTCTTAGTTCTTACCCACTAAACGTTCAACCCCATTCATTTTTGTTCACTTCTGCTAGTTCAGTTTATACATAACTACCGTTTCCAATAGTTCAATTCATCTAGTTTAACTTTCCTTTTGCTGTTCTGGGAACAGAGCAATATGTATGTGCAAAGATATCTATGATCATGTACTACATACAGCGCGAGTTCTCGGGGCAGACTTATGTACAATACATTACCGTGATGTAAACATTAGACTACCCTTTATTATCATTGTATCAAGTAGCCTTGTTCTTGTGGTAGAATTTAAAACAATAAGGAAACGAGAGTACAGACAAGCGTATGTGCCTCCTTAATATTTTATTATATTAGTTTGGACTTTGGAGTTATACATTATCCGCAAGACATTCCTGGATCCTCAGAGAGGTCAATAAGTACTGAGGGTAAAGTGGGTATTGGGGGCATGCGAGAACTTACTGCAGAGGTCTGGAAGGCAACGACTGAATGGAAGTCGTCGGAGGATTTCTTAGACAAGGGAAGGTAGCCCGATGAGCTGCGGAGGCCGGAGAATTCGGAGAAGCTCTTTCCATTTCCCTGCATCAAGGTATCAACATCGATCATAAACAGACAACTTCAGTTTCAGCAAATAACAGTGTGCTGCCAACATTAACGTGCCTTGTTTTACAGTGTTTCACAATGTTTATGCCTGCGAAACAAGGAAGATAAAAGCAGAGGATTCAAAAGAAATAACAAGGCATGGAACCTGGAGAGCTGGTTTGGCTACGGAGAGAGTGGCCGAAGCCATGATCATCACCCAGAGAGCGGAAAAATGTGAAGTGAATGCTCGGAAGCAGCTGGGGTGGCACTAATGTGGAGAGAAATCAGCACCAAAGAGTGAATATTTTCAGGTTCAATGTAATGCGTGATTAATTTTAATAAGCGTCGGAGAGGAGGAAGATGAGTGGCTGAGGCTCGTGAAGGCAGAGTGAGGATGAGATTCTGGATAGCCTCTTCTACAATGAATGGCTGTGGTTGGTGCTTCCTTCTCGTGCCTGTGACTCCAATCATCTGTGGCTCTCCTATTTTGCTGATACCTGCCCATTGTTGGGCCTGAGCCTTGAATCCTAACTGGCCCACCTTGTTTTTTCCTCTCTTCCATCAATCAAAAAAATCTCGACACTTGGGGGCCATTATTTACTTGGGTTCATGCGTTGCTCACCAACATACGGTTCTTCTTCATGCAAACCATCCGTCCATTAATATTTGAAGATTTTGAAGTTAGGTCTTTGTGGTCAATCGAAATTGTGGTTATATCACTCTTTTGTCTCACCATGGCGTTGCAAAGAAATAGATAGGCGCAAAAGATGAATGGGTCTGACCTATCCTGCTGGTTGTTAACCCCTCTAAACCTGTTTCTTTTGATGTGATTCAACTTCCAACGTGATGGCCCGTAGGCTATTAGCTACAATAACAAAGCATTTGTCAAGTAAAATACATCTACCCTATTTGTAATGTCATTCCGCAGCCGCATTGATTTGATTCAAAATGCCCAATCTGAGGCGTTGATGGCATTTCCAAGTTCAATTATACGTTCGTACGGCTTAACAAATAAATAAATGACACCATTTTAACAGAACGATGGAAGTGGACTGCCCCTTTGCTCACGTGTACGGCCCTCAATCAATTCCACAATGTACAAGTGGTATGTATGCGTTTCACAGGAGAGAGGTGATTCGAAGATGAAATATAATTCAACATGCAAATCTACAAAGGTAGGAATTATAGGTAAATGGGTGCTTTGAATACTCGAGCTAACCGAATATCGAGTCCTTGTTGGCATGACGAAAGCGTTCAATCAAACATAAACAAATAGAGCAGAGCAAAAGAGCCCTCCAAAGATTGCCTTTGTTCTTAAAGTTTTTCAGACGTTTTCCTTTTTAGGGGCCAACGACGCATATTCGGAGCTTGAGAAGCAAGCTTTTCTAAATCAATTAATTATGATAAGTTTTAAAAAAACTACCAAATCTCAAGGTCAAACACCGACCACCTTTTTTATTTGCAACTAGCAATCACTCCCCCGTGCAATGCACTGGAGCGATCACAAATAGTATTTAATGTCTAATGCATTTAACTCGCATTTAATTCTAAACTTGTGTGTGACAACTTATGAATTAATTCAAATGAAAACTAATGGTTGAAAAATAGCACATAGATACGTGAATATTCAAAAAATTGATGTAACACTACCAAACTATAACAATGCAAAGTAAATTAATTTAAGAAAAACTAAAATCAATTGGTGCCAATTACAAATTTTTGAATATCTCATGGTAAACTGCATTTGTTGTAGTTTTACAAATGTTATTATGGTCATGCAAAAGTATTTTCAATCATTAACTGATTTCACTCTTGATAATGTAACATAAAGTTGGTTTTGAGTGAAAACTGACTTTGAAAGGTACAATCCAACATAGTTTAAATATTGATTTTGACTCTTGATAATAGTCATTGCAAAGGATAATATAATAGAGAATTGTCTTCTTTGCATGTAAAATGACCATCTACTCTTTGAAGGATTTATGTCTATTCTATAAATTAACATCTAATTAGGCTTTAATCTATTTAATGTTATAGCTTCAATAACTATTTGCCAAGTCTTGTGATTCTAAAATGAGTTTCATTGTATAGACCTGCTACTTGATCAATGTTTTTAAAAATATTATTGGTGCACCAACTTTCAACACAAGTTTGTATAAAGACAGGCTAGAGCTATTTATTGTATTTAAAAACTTTATATTGTAGAAATTTTTAAATACATCAATATCTTGTGTTGATTTGCAAATAGATTTTGAATTATAGTATTCAATACAATCTCTGATAGTAATAAACACATGTAATTAACCTTACTTCTCCTTCCATCCTTTCTGACCTGAGCCCTTCAAAAATTTTACTTTTACGATCCTCATTGACAAAACCCCACAGCCACGGTTGAAATTGTTGAGCAGATATATCCACACAGTTGAACATTGCACATGATTATGATGGTCCCTTCACCATCCTCATTTTTTTTAATATAAATTAGTGGTCAGTGGAGTTTATGGAATGATAAATCTCGCAGTCGTTTGCAATATTAGCCACCAATTCTAAGGCATGATGAAGGTTAAATTTTGTCGTATAATTCACATTAGATTGCCTCAAGAAACTCGCCCCACAAAAAGAAAAGGCAGTGAGTAACAAACAAGCAGAGCATTCCTATTAATGTTTAAGGTCATAGTAAAACCAACTTTCTACTTCTGCAGCAAAAACAATGTTACGAGTGCTGAATGCTACAAGTGCTGAACAGTAAATTTAAAGTACTTCTGAAGTTACAACTAACAATATGTAGCGAATTGCACAAAGGAAAGGTTGAGGGGGAAAAACTTGTGAATATCTGAAGGTTAAGCTTTGGTCAGAGCTGTCCCAAAATGATTTTTCGTTGGAACAAAATTAGAGAAGGTGCATGCAAATACTTTATAATATTGAAAAGCAAATGTACACATTATGTTCAGCACTGTTCCTCTGTTTTTCTGCTGCGTATAAAATAGGGTGGCCACTGCAAGAGGTAGACTACCCCAGAAAGCTTCCTAATTTTACATTTCCTACCTCCCTTTGGGCCCTCCTGGACCCTTACTGATCAGGAACATAGCAAAGGAAGTAGACTTAAAGGTGCTGATCCTCTCTCTTTAAACTCATCTACTTACTTCGGTTTCTCTTTATTTTTTCTTTGTTCCACTTTGTACCCTCACTTGAACGCCAGAACATACGAGCTTAAACCTGTTTGCAATTGAAATTATTTCAGAAGATTGAATTGAAGGGGTCAGCTAACTGCTGCGAATGATCCAAGAAAAAAGTAAAGAGGGCGTCAGGAAGGATTGAAGGTAAATATTGGATAACTACTTATTACATGTCTTCTGGCTCTTTAGGTGCTGACTGTTATGATTCACATTGTTAGGTTTTCTGAAGATGGATATAGACCCTTTGCAGCCTAGGGTAACCGTGTTAGGCAACGTGAATCCGCAAATCTTGACAAAAAGGCTTTTAAAAGTTGGAAAGCATGCAGAACTCTGCAGATACGAGGAATTTGAAGATGAAAAGAAAGGAGCAGGAATTGCAGCCACAACGAAAGAGACAGAAAAACAGAACAATGGGCGTCAAGAAGAAAAGCATCTCGATACAGGCAACATTAAAATAGAGAAAACTAAGGAAATCAAAGAAGGAGGAAGCAGAGGCAAGAACCAAGATCCAAGAAAGCAAAACAAGGATTCAGAATCTAACATGACTGCAAATACTTTCACTCTCCCTTAAGATATGAAGAAGGAAAACCCCCCTATACCTCGTCCTGAAGTGGATTTCACTGTTCAGCCACAAGTTGATTTCATGGTTCATCCGAGTATGCACCCACATAGTAACATCAAAATTCACCCTCAGTACTGTAACATTGCCCAGCCTTGCGAAGTAGCACTCCCTTGTTATCCAACACCTTCATATCCAGATCCTCCCGAAGAGGAATATTACCATTTTGACAAGTCAAGCTTTCAACCACCATTCCTGAGACCAACAGAACGAGTAGGAGACTATTTCAGTGATAAGAACACCATGGGATGCCATGTGATATGAGAACTTCGGCCTAACTTACATGCAGCATAAAATAGAAGTGAGATCCGATGATTCTTCTTTCAGGAGATTTGTTTGATCATTTTTGTAGTGCATGCGATAAATTTTGGCCCTCCCCATCTAGAAGGGCAAGCAGCCGCCAATGCGATCTTCTTCTTCCATTTGTTCACCACAAATTTGATCTTTGATAAATGACAGTTCATTCATCAGCATTGATTCACCGACATAAGTGGATCCCCTTTACTGCTAACTTAGTTCCCACTCACGACTCATGTAACAAGCTACACCAAGTAAGAAGTGTAGAATGATTAGTTCATAAGGGCCACCATTATATAACCATTCATCAATGGATGCCGCTTCCCATATCGGGTAAAAGTGCAAACCTTGCGTTCTTGTTCTGACTCCCAGGTCCTGATTCAGACACACGTCTAGCTGCACAAAAAATGGCGACGACTTTAGGTGGACCAGAATGGTGGAACGTGAAAGCATCATCTGGCAATATTGTGTCACCCAGAAGATACTGTCACGGACGTCCTCTGAAGCGAATTAAAGCTATGCATGATTTGTCACCCGAGCATCCCAATCAAGGACGTCATTTGCCAACATGACTAGACTGCCTTCATAAAATCCGGAGAAGTACACTCCGGATGCAGGTTCCTTGTAAGTACTAGACTGGGCAAAATAACAAAATCATCAACATCTAATTATTTATACAAGACCATATTTATACGCTTCATACTCACTCCTTTTTACTCTGGAATGCTACGTTGCTGGCTTAAAGGCTGTACGCACCTTTTAATCAGTAATAATTGAACAATCATTGCCAACGTAATATGCTTTGGATTTGATGCTTAATTTACCAATTATATTTTTACTTCTTCATTTATTATTAGTCTCAATCTCTGAGTGAAATGGAAATAGAGACACATGGAACCAGGAAACAACAGATTTTTATCAGATCTCAGGTTGAAAATTCACTACCGATGCCCATCTCCTAATGCTTTTTCTCTCTACTTTTGAAGATAAATAGTATAATAGACCATCCTGTCTCATACTCGGTCTATTGCAAGTTTCGTTTATCACGGTGCGCCTAGATTGATCGCAAGACAAGGCTCCCCACGACGAAGAGCATGATTTAAGAGAAAAGAGACTTTCTACAAGTAGGTGAGGTTAGCCAAACTCATGATTATCTCACTGAATAGTAATACTTTCCACCATATTCATTCTCTTTGAAGCTAGAAAAAAAAAAGTTATACAACTGGCACCAAACAAAATGTCCAAGAGAGAGAAAAAAATTGGAGTGGTTTCCAATGACCAAATTTAATTTACTGATGCCAAAAAGGTGAAGACCGACATATAGGACAACCACATAACTAGTGAAAGAACCCTGCACATTGTAAAAGCAACGTTTGATAACGTAAATATCATAGCCGAAATCATATGTAGATCAAAAGGGAAAACAGGGATCAAGCTTTTACTATCAATACACCGCGAAGCCTACTTTGCTCTTCGTTTAAATTCCAAATCGTACCTTCACAGTAAACAATCCTCAGTGATTTCCCTGTCAGTAGTATCAAATGGTCTTTCCCTCAAAAATTGAACCCGGGTACATCCATGTATGAGATTGTGCATGAATCATTTCATTTCTAAAACCATCATTTGCATTGCACTAATTCTTTCGAGTTAGCAGGTTTAATGGGCAAAACAAACAAGGGAAGGCCAGTAGCCTGAAGGCACTAGCATAAAAGTCACTGAACTGAAGAAAAAATGATCAAAATTTCGAACAAGAGAGTTGGGGGACCTAAATGATAACGGACATGATGATTCACACTCCATGCAATTGCCAGAACAGCGGAGACAAAACGTCATCAGTATCATCCAAATAGGGCAGGAGCATGTTTACAAGAGGAAGTAAAACTATAAACCTGAAATCCACCATGCATGTTCAGTGGCAGAAGCCAGATACCATGTCCAGCACTTTTACTTTGTGTAACAATTGGGTGAACGAAAATACCAATCCTTTATACCCTAAGAATCTGAAGCTTGGTGGAAAAAGCAATCGCAACCCAGTCAGGCTGAGATGAAGACCATTGAAGCTGCTCAATCTCCGCCCCGGCGGTGTATGCAAGAATAGGATCCAACCCGCCTTCCATTGGCTGGCCCATTGAGGAAAGATCCCATATCAGAGCCTGAGAGTCATCCCCTGCAGTGCAGATATGGCAAGAACTGTGAGGAGCCCAAGCAATGGCATTCACGCTGGCTTGATGCCTCTGCAACTCAACCACAGGAAGCGTCGGGAAACGAATGTCGAGGACGACAACCTTGGCACTGTCCATGATGATGGTGGCCATGTACCTTGGGTCCTGCTTGTTCCAGCCGAGTCGAACCAAGGGGGTATCCGGCTCCGAGCTCTCATAGATGATAGTCGAATGTTCTTTGTCCCGCAAGTCGAAAACCCTAACGGAGCCGTCGGCAGAGACGGAGGCGAAGACACCCACACCACCCCAAGCGATGTCGTAAACCTCCTTGTCGTGAGCGATAAGCTGCGTGTCCACCGTCTCCTTCTCAATATCCCAGATGGTACAGGTGGTGTCAATGCTAGAAGTGCCGATTCGCTTAGGCTCCACCTCGTTCCAATCGAAAGAGGTGAGAGGTTCACAGTAATCGCTGTTCTTGTTCCCATTAAGGAAGCTCTTGAGCTCCACCCGCGGCGTCGGGTTTTCTTCCGGGTCGGACAGGCGCCAGATTCGGAGAAAGTCGCTAGAGGTGGCGAGGAGGTCCGGCCTCTGGCACTCCTTATCAGGAATGAATATGGCTTTGGTGGGAGGGTAAGGGTGCTCGAAGGAGAGGTTAGGGTCGGATCGAATCTCCCCGTTAGTGTCGTCAAGCTGAACAATTTCGACCCTGTTGGGGTACTGCTCCAACAAGCTGGCTATGGCCAAGCGGTACTTCTTATCGCGACGGACACTCCAGTTCATGGCGTAGATGTGCCATGGTGCTTCGTAGGTGTAGATCTCCGACCGCTTCTGCTGCTCGTCCAATCCGTCTTGGGTCGGGTCATTGCTGGCCCCCATGTATGTATGGTCGTCCAAGCTCACTTTCTTCGATAGTACGGATATTTTTCCAGAACCGAGTAAGGGGTTTATGCGATAAGGAATAGGGAATTTTGAAGCTGGTGCAGCAGCCAAAGTAAGCAGCGTGAATTGAAAAGGTTCGGAAGCGGAAGTAGAAGGAAGGAAGCAGCTTGTGGTGATGTGATCTATTATGAGAGAAGAAAATGGGGAAACGAAGGCTTAAATCCAAATGTCGCAGCGCAATCCTTAGACCCAAATAAGAAAGACTTCGACTTGGAGGGCCCCGATAGTGTCAACCTCTCGAACGATAGCGACAGGAAAATGAGACGTTTCATGGAAGAGATCTAGACCGTCCATCTATTTATGTCCGTATATTGCTTGCTCAGGAAGAATTGTTTCTTGGTTTATTTTTTTGAAATATATTAACCATCGCTATATTTTGATTTGATATATGATTTGTCCAAAATTATCAGCATTAAATACAACGGCTGACCATCGTTTCAAAAGCATCAAACGACAGTGAGTGATCGAATGAATGAATCTGACGGCCAAAAACTTGATAATTTGGAGCTGAAAACCAACGTGAAGGGGTGAGACTGAACCTCAAATAATTCCTTTCCTGCCTCCTCGTACGGCAGTTTCACGTAAACATGCTTGTTTTATGTCATTGGCGTTTATAACCTAAACTGTTAAATTACCTGATGCTGTTAATCTGGCTTAACTGTGAGGTCAAAAAAAAAAAAAATCTGGCTTGATTCCCAAATCTGTTGTTAAAACCTTGGTGGCCCCAAAAAGAGCTGTTATGGATTGTAGGTGTGATTATACTGCGTCAGCAGAAGTTACTGACATCTAACATCTGACTTCAGCCTTGAAATTGAGGGTGCTTCCATATTGTGGCCTTTCAAAATTTATTTCCGGTGGTCATGCATTGAAAAAAATTTATATTTTGTTTCATCATGATTATATTATAATTATAATTATAATCCAACAACTGAAGGATTTGTTGGCAGCAATATAAGAAAGGATTGGTTCCCATTGTTACCTACCTTCATGGGTAGCCAGCCGGCAGCTGCACAGCAGGATGGAAGGGAAAATGTGGCGCTCAGAGAGCGGGAAACATGAACGATTTTTACCCAAAACGATACGTTCTACCGATTCCTTTATGGACATTAGAGAGTGAATGGTTGACCATACACTCTCTATCCCTTGCGCGAGGCCAGTTCTCAGAGTCTTCATCCACCTCCAACCTTCCTTTCCGCAGCAGGCATTTGGAGATGGGTTCTGGTGGTTGAAAAGACGGATTTCGAGCAACTAAAGATCATAAAATTTTCCTAAACCAGAGAAATTTTTAAAAATAATATTATATGCCGCCATTTGCGTATCATATGGCGGTAAAAGCAATCGTTCGTACCTGTAATTTGAGCCGTGCCTCGTCTGTTTCTTTGGAGGAATCACCACATATCATGGTTTAGTTGTCATATTACATTGACTGACCAACCCACAAAAACAAGATGAAAACAAAACAAAACAAACATTTCTAGCAGAGGATATCCAAATTGACTTGCACATTTTCATGGATGAAACACAGAATAACTACATCTTAGCCATAAAATCCAAGTGATGGATGGGAATGTCGAGTCATAACAGCAATGATGCCCCATCCAATTGTCCATAGCCAAGTGAAGGAACGCTCTACAAAAGAGATGCTTAATCAGAATCCTCGTACACCTCCCCGTCATCAGAGAACTCATCAAATGATCGGATATCAAGCTGGTAGCGAAGGATACCTCCAATGCCACCAAACCCTCTGCAAAACTGCGATCCTTCTTGAGATTTATTGGTCACAAATTCCAGCGAGCAACCAAATCGTCTGTACTCGTTGGCAAACCACTCCAGCAATGGCATCTTGTCCTGCAGCTCCAACTCGGCAGCAGTGGCTGAATCCCGGAAATTGGTTTCATCAGCCTCTTGTTCCTTGTTTAAGTGCTTTACGACAATCTCACCAGTAGAATTATTTTTCAGTACAACCCTATTGATATCCAAACTTTCCCATACTATAAGTGTCTCAATGGCACCCATCTCCAGAGCTTTCAATGTGTCATCAACCCCAAAGACATATTTACCAGTATCCTGGCTGATCTCCTCAAAGTATTTCCCTATCAACTTCTTTTCTTGAATGAACTTCACATTCGACAAAATCTCAGCAGATAACTCAATAGCTTGATTAAAACCATTCTCCCCACCATATGAAACATCAACCACATTTAATATTTTTGCTGCTAGACGAGGATCAAACATATCCGATTGGCTCAGCTCAGTCTTGAAGTCAGCTGAACCCGCAAGTATAAGCCCAGCAACATTAGGCTGACTAGTGGCAGGATTAATGAAAAACTGTGTGGCGAGTTCAGCAGTCTTTCTAACATAGTTGTGTCGTTTTTCCATGCGAAGACGAGCAAAACGCAAAGCAGACTGCCCTCCTCTACCATGTTTCTTTGGTAGATCAACAGTAAATTTATGAAGCACCTCACGCGTATTTCCACTTAACGTCCCAAAAAGGGTACCATTTCCATCCATAACAATGAATCCAAATTTGTCATCAGATTCTAAAAGCTCATTTAAAGCTTCAGTGTGAAACTTGTTATCACAAAGGTAAAGTGACGCATTAATAGGCTTGAAAGGTTCAAAATCAATTGTAACCTTTTTTTCTTTGCCATCTTCAGTGACAACAGTTCCGGTATAAAGAACCAATCCATTTGGAGGAACCTTATTATATAACTTCAACCTCTGTTGCGCAGAAGTAATGGCTCCCAATACTGACTGTCGATTGACCCTGCTTTTGATGTTTGAAGCAGTTCCAAATTCATCTCCCAACATCTTGGTGACTCTGGATATTTGATCACGAGGAGGCATTATTAAAGAAATCATGCTGGTACCATTACCTCTTGCAGCTTCCAATGCTTTAATCAATTTCTTGATCTTCCATATCTCAATGTTCTTGTCTGATTCATGACTGTCAGCCATTGCAGGTGAAGTGGAAGACTAACCTACAACAATTACCACCAAAAAAGCATGGCAGCAGATTTAGGAAACATGAACCAATAAACAAGTAAAAGCACCATCAAAATCACAGTTTTTAACTCATTGCCTTATGCTATTCAGATAACATCAATACAATAATGACGGACTATTATGTACACCTGTTTCTGCTACAAATGCATAGTGTGTAATGAAGGCAGGGAAAATCAAACAGCAGTAAATGAGTTGCTTGAAATGATGAATGAAAAATTTGACACAGATCTTCCAATAATGATAGACTCAATGGTAAGCCATGAGAAGTAAACAAGACTATAATTAGTAAGTTGGTAGTTTATACACCAAGACCCCCTAGTAAAAACTGGACTATGAGTGTGACCAAAACTATGCATTTCCTACATCATGCACTTAAGTTCCACCATGTGAAGTCTTTCCGTTTCTTTTCTCGATATGGAGATCAAAGCATAATTGGAAACTACCAAAAAGTAATACAACTATGACTCTCAAAAGAAACTGATAGAGCCCCTCATTATTTTACTAAGACATATCAAAGGAAGTCAAAGGGGAAGAATGACTCAAGTAGAATAATGGTGACTGGTCTAGAGGTTTATCCTTCAGTCTCTAGCCGTAAGGAACAGTAGCGTGGGATCTTTGGCCATAATTAAGATCTTTTGGGAGGTATGGGCTAGGGGAGAAGCCATGCTGTCTGTGCTAAGGGTATATTTAATCTTTTTGCTTGTATTGAGGGGATATCTTGTAAGAGAAGGGAGAGGAGAGACTGGCCTCTCGAATGCCAGAAGGAGTGAACCCTCTTGTGAGGTTTGAACTTGTAATGTTGTTACTTTTGTGATCATTCAGGGGAGATAGGGTTTTGGCCAGAATCAAAGAAAGACTTGTAACTCTGATTCGGTTTCTCTCAATTTATTAATATCAAAACCTCAGCATTTTCCCTTCATTTATTGTTATTACTGTCTTGATTGCTGTTTCTGTGGAAATATTGGTTTGGGTCTTATTAGAAACCTTTAAACTTCAACATCTAAAATTGATACAGATGCACAAGATGAGATTAAATTGAAGATACTTCAATGAAATATAAGCATTGTCTAAGCCATTTAGATGCTACAAGACATCAAGATATTAAGAGATACCCTCCAAAAGTTAATCTTCAGTCTACATATCAGACCCTCCAATCTAGGGGTGAAAAAAAAAAAAAAACGTATGCAGCCAGAAACCCCAATTCACACCCTTCTAAATTAGATAAGAGTAGGCTTCACATGCTTAGCAAGGAACAGTCTCATATTCACAATAGAAATATGATGATCAAATTACAAGCAGGGATGCAAATTGATACAACTGAGGGGCGTGAATTTTCATACTTGTCTGCCGCAAATATTAGTTAAATCAAGAGTTTAATCACCACGTGGGCCACTGCCTGACCCAAAGATGACTTAATAGTTTAAACACATTTCAGTACTGTGTTGTGAACTGAAAAGATCAATAAAAAAATTAAACATATTGGCAAGTAAAAGAAATACAGAGGCCACGGTGCTCCTATACTAGTAAAACGTCATGCAGACTGCTGAAATCTGGAGATACTCAGAAACAACAAAACCTGTTACAACTTTTGTTTCATTCATGAAGAAAACACATGATGATCACAAAAAGGCTCACAGGCCTATGAATTTGTGAAAAAACACCATGCTTTCTAATATTTGGAATCTTGCCCACATTCTTTTGACAATAAAACTTCAGCGCTAAGGTCTCTCAGTTTTTGAGCAAGTTTATTAGCATAGCCACCCAGCAACATAACATTCACAGAACAAACATATATACACTTCATACGCAACATTGGAATTACCAATACTTTCACCTGCAGTTGTTACATAGTTAGTGCAAACTACAACCAAGTTCGTTAGAAAAATAACATTTTGCAAGGGAAAAACCAAATTCAGGTGATAATACCATGATTTGGGGGCTTGTGTAAACAAATTGTTCTTCTCTTTCTCTTTTTATACATATTTTCTCTGTGAACTTATTGGGGATACTATTTTATCACTTGGTGATTTGGCTCTATAATTGGGTAATATCAGCAAGCAGTAGCACGCTAAGTTGCCCAAATTTGACCGCAGATTATGAGTGAATATAATTGGTACATTACTGGAATAGCCA